TGAGATTGACAAGTCCATATTAGCTCAACGTGTGCTGATATTTGCCCTCTCCTGTCGCAGGTTATGTCCAATAGTACAGCCAGCTCAGCAATCGTCGCCCTCTCACCTGGAGGTGTGCTTATGCAAGCTGGGACGCAGCAGGCCATAAACCGTGGGTACTCTCTGGGTGTTCTGGTCACTTAGGGCTCGGTGATGACGTCTCTCCTTACCGTATTTGTGAGCCACTGAGGACAGCGTGCATTTAATCTATTAAATATTTGCATCAATATTAATTCAAGCTTATTTCTTGGTAACTTGATATTTTAAGGAAATGCTGTGAATTGCTGTAAATACTGTGAATAGGACAGATAACCAACTGAATTTTAGCTACTGGGGAATTGAGTTGAAAATAGCTGGAAATCCACAGCCGCAGAACTAACTAGGGCAGTGTTTTTCAACCCAGTCCTTAGGGTCCCCAGACAATCCATATTTATTCTCCCTCCCAGCTCTCAGCACACCTATACCAGGTATTTTGGTGGGGAGCTGGGAAGGAGCAAAAATGTGGATTGCCTGGGGGTCCCTGAAGACTGGTATGGGAAACACTGGAATTGGGAACCCTAGATTCAAATCAAATAAGTCCTCTACTTGGACATTCTTTCTTATAATAGGAGATGATTCTGTACAAGGCTCAACCATTGTGCTGCCTTTTCAGAGATGGTGCCCAGTGAGGTGCAGTCAGAGCTGAAGCACCTGTACGTGGCAGCTGGAGAGCTGCTGCGTCACTTCTGGTCTTGTTTCCCTGTCAACACGCCCTTCCTAGAGGAGAAGGTGGCTTTCTCTCTCTCTCTCTCTCTCTTTACTCTTCTGTTTCACCTCACTTTTTGGTTTTTCTTAAATCTTTTTTTTTTCCCCCCCCTCTTCTCTGCAAAGGTTGTGAAGATGAGGTCTAACCTTGAGAGGTTCCAGCTCACTAAGCTCTGTCCTTTCCAGGAGAAGGTCCAGCGGCAATACTTGAGCACTAATGTAAGACATGTCCCTTCTCTCAGCTGAAAGGAGATACTGTAGGTTTAATCCTACTGGAACTCAGAAGGTCCTGTAACACGTGCTTAGTGAACCGAGCTGAAGTGCTGCTTTTCATTGGATAGCGTGGGTGGGCCTAATTAATGTTTTGCTTATTGTGGTAACCTGTTAGTAAATTATTGTAAACCCTAAGAAATCTAGTTTAGCAGTATATCCTTGATCCTTTTTATCTTGGACACATTTCCTACAGCTTACAGGCCACCTGGAGGAGATGCTTCAAACAGCCTACAACAAGTTCCATGCCTGGCAGACGCGACGAATGCTGAGAAAGACATGATGGAACAGGGGATAGCGGACAAGAGAGGAGCGACAAGCCGCCTCTCTCCTGGGCCAGCTGGCTCGCTGTGATCCACACTGAACCAAGGGCCTCGTACTTGGTCTGCGTTGGGGCTGGGACATCGACTGGAGGATGCCACGGCAACTCTTGATTGGTCGGCACCGATGAACATTAGCACAGGCGATATTCATCTATTTGTTGTGTTTTAAATTCTCATGGGTGGGGGGAAAATGGGGGGGGGGCACGCCTATCCTAGTTCTCTCTGGGGGATGTAGCAGAGCCAGGATGCCGAAATGATTGCAACAAGCAGTCTGACGGGCGGGTTCTGTGGGGGGGGGTGTGGCTCACCTCAGGTACTGAGTGAAAGAAGCTGAAGGACTGAGCTGCTGCTGTTAAGTATGTTCGACTTACCCATAATGCAGTGCAACAAAAGAGGAATACAAGCAAAGAAGATGTTTGGAAGAAGCAATACTGTAAATGAACTGCCTGTGCTGTCTCTTATGCAGCTGTCACATGGTCATCACTGCACTGGCTTCACAAGGCCTGCACCTGTAGGCTTAACAATGGCTGTTTTGTTAGGCTTGCACTTGTTTAGGAGCAAATAGAGGAATGTGTAGAGTGATCCAAGCTGTCGCCACCACTCATTCCAATGGTTTGTCAGGTATATTTCTCTGTCTGGAATGCACAGACACAGCCTGTGGGGATCTCCGAATGTCCATCACTGACAGAGACTCCAGTCTGTGCGCTGTCGTCTTCTGCCTTTCTCACAGTGCTCTTTCACTTCTCTGAAAGTTCCTTCTTTGAGAAGACCTGCTCGCTTCAATGTCATTCAAGAGCAAGATAGAGGAATTCCTTGAGCAAAGCTAAGTTGTCACTGTCGTGGTAGCCATCTCCGAGTTTACAGACCCGGTCCCCCGCGAGTCCCAGTTCTGTTACTTGCACTGAAGCGTCCCTCGAGCCGTCTCCAATCTACACTCTTTCCCACATTGTCCAACTGGGGAAATGTCACAGAACTGAGCCTATCTACTGGTCCGGCAGTATCTGGTGGTCAGTGTTAAGCAAAACAAACATTTAACCAATGACTGATGGTAATGGAATATTTTTCCTATCTGTTTATCTTGTTGACTCAGAATTGACACCGTTGGAGATTCTTTGACTGTATACATGGATTGGTTAGTGGTTTTAAGTGGTACCATCTCCACTATGCTTTGTTATTGTAGATAAGTTAATGGGAAGAAGGAAGAATAGCTACAATCTGGATGTTTCTACTGCTCAGAAACATGTAAGAAAATGCACTCAGTGTTAATTATTCTTTTTGCTAAAGCCTCTGAAAAGGTCTGTCCCTCTGTGAACTGACTGTAAACTCTTGGCTGAATTTCCTTGCCCTTAGTACAGCAGAATGAAAAGGAGCTTTGATGTCTGTCTTCAGGAGAAGGTTTCTGTGGGCACCAGCGCTGTTAGTCAGTTGCCCTTGGTGCCATGACTAGTGCAATAGCTTTGCTGTTGAAGCATTTTTGTATCGCTGTTTACCTGTGTGAACATGCTATCCTTTGAAACTCTCAAGTTTTCATGTTGATCTCCATCACTGGTTGATGTCAAATTTGCTATCAACATACCATAAGTAGAATGGTCTGGCACATATGCACCAACCCAAGGTTTCATACTTGCAGTGCTTTCATCGAATGATATAACAAATATGCAAATCCCAATTTTAGGGGGAAAAGTGTGGTTTCCTTTGCCTTGTTATCTACGGTTGTACTTGAGTGAGCTGTTAGCCACAGTCTCTAAACCCTGTTTTCACTCAACATAGTCACTATAAATGCAGTCCAGCGTCTTTGTTTTTTATTTAATCCTGTATATTTGCAAGCATCTACTGGCTAGATCCACAAAGTGATTTTTTTTTTGGCTTTTCATCTACGACCACCCAGGATTCCACTCTTGTTTTAGTATAACTCTGTTGTGCAAAATGTCATGGTGGAAGATGACGTGAGTTTTGGGAGTAGTTTTAGAAATTATCTGATACAAATGTTCCAGAAATCTTTTCATAAATGTGTCCTGATGTCAGCACTGAAATTTCTCATAGTAGAACTGAGTTGTTTGGGTTCTGTTGTTGGGATGAGTTTCCAGAAGCAGGGCTCAGTGAATATGTTTTATTATGCTTTGTCTTAATACTGTATGAATACACCAGTATGAAGGGAAATCTTATCATTTTTGATGTGTTAAGATTTGGACAAAGAACATTTTTCAAAAATAACAGGTTTAAATTTAATGTAATTTGGTTTACAATTAAAATGGTCTAATTTTAACTGTCTAATAAAGATATGCAGAATAAGTTTAAAGACAGGATAATTTTTTTTCAGTTTTACCTGTGCTAACAAGTTCAGTCCAACTGAGCACAAATGAGTTTGAGAAGGAAAAAAAAAAAGTCCAGAGTTGTATCAGTGTATCATCTCCCTTGGTCTGATGGAAACCTCCACAAGGTCTGAATCTCTGAATCTGTAATGCACAGGTGAATTCAATGAACTGTGTCAAAATTTCTACTACTTTTTTATATTCACAAATGTGATAGAATACTCATATCTCTATATGCACAAATTGTATGTATGTGAAGGTGTTGTTTGTAAAGCTGACAAATAGCCAAGTTTGACGGCAAGCAGTGTTTATAGGTTATTAATCTGGAGGTTTAATGTCCAAAGTTATGGCATTCCTCTCTGGCATAGCCGCCAATTGGCCACATTGTGTTCCCAATATGAGGTGAAAAGATCTTTTATGTGGGGGAAATGTTAAACAAACCAGCTTCTGCAGTGCAATTGTGTGACTTATTACTTGAAATTTCTGAGAGTCTCATGAGACTTTTGGACCCTATAAAGCAAGTTTTCCCCTTTATTCTTGCTGCTTGTGTTGCTTCTCCTAACAGGGATATAGGTATAAATATACGAGATATACTCTGTGTCAGATCCTCTGTGTTATATTCAGTTTAGGGCAACAGCAGCCTAGTTACAGAAATGAATTTTGTGAATGTGAACTGCTCTAAAAACAGATTGCAATAATTATACTGAAAAAATATACCACAAAATTTAAGTAACATCTGCTGAGGAACTATTTATTTTATCTTGTAGCTTTGCATGGCGAGCCGGCTGGATTTTATTTAACTTTTGTGTTGTACTTCAAAAACTAAAGCTGTGCAGAAAGGGTGAGTATTTTTAGGAGATTAAACAAGTAGTCTTATTTTCTGTTGTAGAATATTTCCTTGCTCTATTTTCACCTTCATTTGCTGCTTCAGACTGGTTTTAAAAAATCTTCTAATACAAACAATTTATAGGAGCAGCAGTAGGGCCCAGGTTTCACAACATGTTTTTAAACAAAGGCCATGACTTAAGTGTTGTTCTCAATTAATGTTTATATCAGGCTTATCTTTACCAGTTAGCTCTGTGTATGTATGGTTGGATGTCGTGGTCTGGTTTGGAAGGTTGTAGACCTCCATCAGTTGTCCCTGTAAATATGTGCAGTGGGAAGGGCATTCAGAACAACTGCAAGCCTTTAAATAATAATGACGTTATCTTTTGTCTTTTGATACTCCTGCAATCTGTATTCCCCGGAGCATCTACTGTTGCAATCAATAGCCTAATGGAGCATGGAAGCCCCACTTTAGTCTAACTGCTTCTCCAGTGCATGCGCCAACGGCACTAGCGCAAAATGCAGTCCGCTACTCGTGGACGTCGATTTCCGATATATGTTTGTATATGAATTGTTCTAAACGGATGTTATTTAATGAACATCTGAGTCGATGCTATTTAGTCTTTTTCATGTTTGGAATGTGCAATTAACAAAGACCTTGAGCAAAGTCCAGAACATACAGTAGACTATGAGGAGGTATCACTCCGCCCCGCTCTGCGATTTTAGACTGTAAAGTAGTACCGACCAGTCGGAAACGTCCCACAACTTCTGTCAAATCTTCACGGCAGAGAAGTGAGGAAACAAACTATTTTAACTAAATAAAGTATAAACGTCTGCAACTCTGGACTCGATGTTGCACCGTGAAAATGACATAGTTTTGGGGAATTGACCGCTCGCCAATGACAGGTAGGTTAATAACCGAAGAGTTTGTTTTTTACAATTTAAACCGTAGCTAAAAGGTGTTGCTAAACGGTTAAGTCTGCTTCTGTCCAAAGCAAAAGTGATACCTGTACATGATTTGGCTTATGTAGCTCCAGCGGAGCACACTTTTGTTTCATATCGGCAGCACATCAGTGTATTTGATTTAAGGACAAATGGTGTAATTGTAGTTAATAATGGGTGGACCATCGGTATTTAGACAATGTGTCGCTGGTTAGTTGTTTGCTTAGTTTGCTGATTGAAAACGCACCACTTTATTTTACGGCATCGATTTGTACTGTAACTCTAATTTAAAATGGGATTAAAAGAAACTACTGCTTAAGTGACGGGAAGGGGCACTAACGGTTTGCAATGTGAATGTTTTAAATGTAAGGGATGTGGCTTGCAGAATAGGAAATTGAACTGGATTGGGATCTCGTGATGCTCACACTCCCTTGGTGGTTCAGCCTGTCTGCTGGATTAGCACCCGATCCAGCCAGCTACCCCCTTCCCTTGGTTCCCATTCCCATCCCAGTTCACCTTTGCCAAAATTGCTGCCATAGATGGTCCGTGATTAGAGGCGCCTGTGAGCGCTGCTATGTGAATGTTTACTGACAGCAGCTAAATGTACTGGTCCTGTACGTTGTACCACGTAGCGTTACTGGTTCACTGAACGATAATTTTACACTGCATGGGCTTGTTTTTCAGGTATGTCATTTACTTTTGTAACTCCATGACAGTGAGTTACTATAAACTCCGTGATGTGCTTTATTTTTTTTGCTTGGTAAACCTCACTCTTTCCTGGTAGTAAACTGACAGGCACTGCTAGTCATGCTTTCACAATTAGAGAGGATACGTGAAGTCATGTGATGTCAGGCAGCGGGAGAGGGGGTGGTGCAACGCTGTCTGAGCGGTATTGACTAGATCAGGGGTGGCCAATCTTATCTGCAAAGGGCCGGTGTGTGTGCGGGTTTTCGCTGCAACTCTCTAATTATATTACTAATTGATTGGCTGAAGAGTCCTCACACCTGGGTTTGAACAGCTGACCTACAGGTTATCCCAAAAACCTGCATACACTCCAGCCCTTTGTAGATAAGATTGGCCACCCCTGGACTAGATAATCTGGGTTTACACACTGTTTGTGTCTGTTACTGGCAAAGATGCTCCAGATACAGATGTGTGGCTCTGATCTAACTGTACTTAGCTGCAGACATGAGGTGTGTATTTCCACCCCACAACCGACCTGTCCCTTCCATTAGCACCAACCGCTTCCTTAACATGCCCAAACAGGTTGGCCTAGCTGAGAGGCGTGCTAACCATGCCTCTGCTGCCTGTGCTGCCTGAGTCCTGCACACATGTGCTGGCTGAGTTTGACTGCTTGGATCCCCTGCTCTCCGCCCTGCGCCTGGACTCCAGCAGGATCAAGGTAGTGGATAGCCAGGCTTCAGCCTAGGCCACGGCTAGCTGGACGATCCCCGACATTGCCCGCCAGCATTCCTCACCCCGCGTCCCTGTTTAACCGCCTTGCCCTTCTGCAGTGTACCTGCGTGGCGGTCTCGAAGAAGTGGTTGGTGCTGGGAACCTCAGCAGGGGCTCTCCACCTTATCCAGAAAGATGGCTGGAAGCAGCGCTTGATCCTCACACACAAGGTGCTCCGGGAAGCCTCTGAAAGCGCAGACTGTGCTCTGGCTCTCCTGTCCGCGTACATACAGTCTATGCTGAATTAAACCCTGCTTTTCAGTTTCACCAATAAATGTCTTGGCTCCTCCGGCAGGAGGGATTCATTACCCAGGTAGCATGCTGCCCACATGATGAAGACTTTATTGCAGTTGCTACAAGGTAAATGGAGCTCGTCTCTCTCCACAGGAACATCTCTGCAATGTTGGGCATTTCAGGTCCAGACACTACTCCAGACCAACATTTTGTTTCTACTAACCAGTAAATCACTCTGCGACTGTGACTCTTCATGCTTGACTGGTTGGTAGAAACAAAATCTTGGTCTAGATTTGTAGTTTCTAGACCTATAATGGCCAACACTGAATGTCTATGTATTTATACACTGTAGATGGTATAGACAGCATACCTTGTACCATTTTCAACAGCTGCACCAACTCCTCTAGTCATTTAGCACATTTCGAGAAGCTGTCGTGTATCAGTGTGGAGCTCGTTGGCTGTGCACTGTACTACGTTTATCCGCTCACTATGTATTTAGTTAGTAGTACATTCTTTGTTGGAAAAATGAGTGACTGTTGGAGTGTAGCGCAGTTTACAGGAACACGGTGGCACACAAGTGTCGTACACAGCAAGAAAAAACTCCTAGCTATTTTGTGTCTAAAAGACGTTTACAGGTATGTTCTGCATTGTATTCCATTAGCTGGTTACAGGCTTCGGCAGTCAGGCGCTAAAGGTATTAATTCCACGTGTTGGTGTTCTTGGCACTATGGAAAAACACATTGTTCCTCTTATTAAATTTGACTTGTAGTTTGAAAAGTAAGGACCAAATTAGTTGCAGGGATGCAATATTCCCCACCTTCAGTATCCCGGAACATTCCAGAGATGGAAAATGTGTCTTTCACTATTTCACTTTGTCGCAAATATATTACAAATGTCTGCGTGTCCTAATTTAAGAATTTCTGACCAAGCAGAGGTGATTGTTACATAAATTCCATACCTTCTTTCCTCCCTTCCATCTCTATGGCTGTACTGGGCCAGTATAAGCTGTTATGTAGTTAGTATGTACTAGACTCACGCCGCAGACATGTTAAAGTCAAATAAAAATAGTTGTAATATTTTCTTTGCATTTCATATGATTTATTTGTCCTCAGTGATTAACTTCTTATTAATGATTATAGTTTATACATTTTAAGATGATATGCGACAGGGTTGTGGCCATTACAGAATGCATTTATCAATTCCAGTTCAAATCAGGAAATGGAACTGGAGTTGGAATTTATATCTTTCAGAAATTCTAATTCTATTCCAGTTTTTTTTTTTTCTTTTTTCCCCAATCCCAACTCCAGTTCCATTTCCTGATTTGGACTGGAATTGATGAATGCATTCAGGAATGACCCCAACCCTGATATACAACACGCTTCAGTTTCCTTCCATAGTACACAGGCATGCAGTTTAGACTGATTGGTGGTCTCTGAACTTCCTGTACTGTATGACTGTGTGTGAGTGTGTGCATATACGTGCCCTGTAGTGGACTGGAATCATGTCTGGGGTGTACCTCAGGGATTGGCTCTAAGCCCCCCCACACAACCTGGATCAGGATAAGCGGTTAAAAGCTGGATGGATAATATGCAACAAATAAGTAGAACACAAGATGCAATTGTCCCATAATGCCTAGTAAGTAATAATTGCCTGGTATGTTAATAATTAATCACATGATCGTTAAATGCTGTCTAATTCTTGGGGATGTGAGCGTGCGCATGAGTATGTGTATGATTGTGTGTCCTTATTTCATTGCTTGCTTGCATATGACGCCCCCAGTCAGGGCCTGGTGGTGGTGTGGGAGCTGCACCTGGAGCGGCGGGGGCGCCCTGAGCGTGTCTGTACCTCCTGGGAACACCGGGGCCAGACGGTGACGGCTCTCTGCTGGGACACGGCCGTGCTGCGCGTCTTCGCAGGGGACGCAGGCGGGAAGGTGTCCTCTGTCCGTGCCGCATCCTCCAAGCTGGGCAAGGTACTTCACGCCGACTGGGCAGGTGCTGCTGGGAATTGGCCAGCCGAGGCTAATCCCTGTGGGTCCAGAGTCTGCATTTTAACTCCTCAGCTGACATCTTTGCCCAGATGACTTGCACATCTATCTACTTATCCAGCTAGACACCAATCAGCAGGGACCGTCCCAGTAGGCTATCTGCCATTCCTAGATTGCCTGTGGTGTGTGTGTGTGTGTGTGTGTGTGTGTGTGTGGTATCCTGTGTTGGATTGACATCACATCCAGGGTGTACCCCACCCCCCAGCCTTGAACACTCTACTGCTGGGGATTTCCTCTGCTGCCCCCCCAAAAAAAAAACAACAGGATAAGGGATTGGAGAACTGATGGAGGTTTAACTAGGGTCTTTAGTGTGTATTAAGAGCATTGTTTGCAGTTCTAAGTACATAAAGATTTCATAATTTCATCATTTTTTTTTGCTTGCATGTGCATTTTACATACTGTCACACTGTTCCTTACTGTCTATTGAATCCCAGACTGCAGCTCACTGCTATTGCCTGCTGGGGGCGCAGTTGGGCATAGGTGTGGGTGGGGCAGATCGCTTCATTCTCACTGTGGATAAGCGGAGCTGTTTACTAACTCGGAGATTAGCACCAATGGCATCGATAAACCCTAAATTCAGCTCCCACAAAGATGGAGCCGCAGTGTTGCCAGTGGATAAACCAGGATATCTTGCCAGTACATGATTGTTTAGACTGACATGTGACTTTATTTATATTTGTATTGGCTTTTGTGTTGATTCCCCTATTTGTTGTTATTTGGGCAGCGTTCATTGTTAAAATGGGTTGTCTGCCAGTGCTCTTCCAGAGTGGAGAGAGATCGCAAATCTTGATCCTGATTGTATCATGATTTGGCTAAAGGTCATAGCATCTGGCCCTATTAACGGTTCACCGATGTGTTTTGTTGTTCCTTTTCTGCACTGGGTTTAGTTATCGTATTTGTTTCGCCCCTTTAAGTGATCACTCACCTCGCTGTGCTTTTACACAGTGCCAGTGAAACATGATGATTGCATCTTCCTGATGCGCTTAACCTTTTCCGTTTTGGAAAGATTTGCGAAAATGGCAGATAAGGGCCTGCAGTCGCAGAGAATATGCACTACTGAAGGTTCTCATTTTAGGTACATTCCCATAAGCCTGTGTAGGATTTCATCGGAACCGCATTTAATTGATTGATCTTATATATGGGGGGGTTTTGGGTTTATATGTGAGTGAGAAACTCTGCTTTTACCTGTAATGTATAACTGTGGTGATATTTTGACAACTAAGGCTTTTTGAATTTTGAACCTTGATTCTAAATTTATGCATACTTAATTGTTTAGTTAGCTCCTGTTACTGAACAAGTGGAGCATTGCACCTAATGGTTTGAATCCCAGGGAGTGCACTTACACAAATTGTAACCCCCCTACTGTAAATCGCTTTGGATTAAAGCATCAGATAAATGAAAAGTCTGTCTTTGGAATTTTTGTTTAGACCACACGTAGTTACTCTGGTGATAAGGCTTGTTGTCCACAGTGTTCCCTGTGTGGCTTGATGTAATCAAGTGTCAGTACTAGCAGTGAATTCGGTGACACCCCCGCCCATGTCCCCCGCGGCGTTCGTCGTGGTAACCAGGGTATATGTCTGCAGGGCTCGGCGTTCGTCATCTTTCCCATCCAGACCATCACCACCCTGGACTCGAGAGTGGTGCAGCTGGGCTACCAGGATGGCCGTCTTCTGGTTTCCTCACTCAGCCGCTGCTACTTGTGCGACACAGAGAGGTGGGCGGGACTCTGTGGACCAAACCATTATGGTGGGGGGGGGGGGGTGGGGGCTCCGCCTGTACCAAAAAATAGGCAGCAAGGGGGCAAACACATTCCAACACCATATGAGTCTCCAAAAGTACTGCTATGTACTGTAAAAAATATTTGAAGAACAACATGAAATACTCAGCGCTCTTGTCTAGCTCTGACATACCAAGGGCTGTTAGTGAATGACTTTTTTCTTTTCTTCCTGTGTAGGGAGAAGTTCTGGAAAGTGGGGAACAAGGAGCGGGACGGGGAATATGGGGCCTGCTTCTTCCCCCCGGCACGCGGCTCGCCAGTCGGCACGCCGCCCCTCTTGTACTGCGCGCGGCCGGGCTCCCGGGTGTGGGAGGCCAACTTCAGCGGCGAGGTGCTCAGCACGCACCAGTTCAAGCAGCTCCTCGCCTGCCCTCCTATGCCCCTCATATCCTGCAGGTAGCTCCTCCCACAGTCACACCTGTGCATCTGCACACGTTTGCGTCTCTGCCACTGATCATATCGCCCCCTGCAGGTGTGAGCCGCAGTTTCACGCTGCTCCAAGAGGCCCCCAGTCCATGGCTTTCCCCAGGCTGCTATACCTCAGGTACCATGGCACCAGCACACTGTCTGCAGACCCTGCTGTCTGTCAGTCACCAAATGATACCCCCCTGCCCTTTGAGTGTGTTATTAATGTGTGTTATTTGTAATTATTATCGGTCATCACAACATCTGCCTACATTAAGTACTGGGAGCACTGGTCTTTCAATGCTTATCTTGTCACTTTTAGACACTACTCGTAATAGTATTAGTTACAATAGTCTTTTGCACTCTTGTACACATATATTCCGTATTTTGCACCGTGTATATGCACACCCCACTTTAGCTACTTTTTTTACATACCTCTTCTGTTTTCGCACCTGTGTATGCTTTTATTTTATATCCTATTATTGCTTCCTTGTATTATATTATGTTCTTTATTTTTGGTGCTTTGAAGCTCTGTTTGTTGTTTTAATCTTCACGGTGAGAGCTATGCTTTGGAACGGTAATTTCCCTGATGAATAAAGCTTTATCTTATTACATGCTATCTTGCTTAAATACGTTGTGTGTGACTGGCCCTCCCCTGCTCTGCCTCCCCTGCTCTGCCTCCCCTGCTCTGCCTCCCCTGCTCTGCCTTCCCCTGCTCTGCCTTCCCCTGCTCTGCCTTCCCCTGCTCTGCCTCCCCTGCTCTGCCTTCCCCTGCTCTGCCTTCCCCTCATGCCTGGCATTCTTCATTCAAACCTCTGGTGTTGTTTTTATGCAGTGATCAGAACCTGCTGACCTGGACTGAGTCGGCGATCTACATCTTCGTGCCTCAGTGCGACCAGGTCCTGCTCTGGACTGAAATTAAAGGTGCAAAGCTGTCCAACTGGCCACCGCCCCGGTCATTTCAGTGCTATATCACTGCTGTTTACCTCCCTACGGTGCCCTAATCGCTGTGTCTGCCCCCCCGACCTTCAGACCTGATTGAGGTTGCAGTTTTCCGCAGTGAGCTTTTCTGTCTCCATGCCGATGGACGCCTGTCCCACTTGAGCCTGCTGTCTGCGGAGCGCTGTGTGGACAGGCTGATACGCAGGGAAGCCTGGTCCCTGGCCGCCTCTGTCTGCTGCATGTTCCCGCACGCCATCGCCCCCTGCAGGGTAAGACCACCGCACCACAGTGAATTCACGTCCGCAAAGACCTCATCTCAGAGGTACCCTGCAGAGCGTATCGTCAAAAGTAATGTCTGCATAATAAACTATAATGATCACATGGCTATAATGTGTTATGCCTTTTAATAAATAGTTATAGCCATGTTTATAGTGCTCTATGAATGCAATATAATGCATTATGAATGTGTATATAAATTACTAACAACATGGCCTTAAGTAAAGTGTTACAGGAAAATCATTTAGTGGGTCCAGTTGCTTAAAATGGACTTGGTTAATTTACCTACCGCTAGAGTGCCTTCTTGGTCAATTTATGTTGCTAAATATTCAATTCACCCCCCCCCCCCCCAAAAGGCCCGGAAGTCACTTCCCATTGACCGCCTGGAGTACCTGCGTTCACAGCTCAACCCCAGCACCCAGCAAGACCTTCTCAGCCAACTAGAGGACATGATCCCCAAACTGGAGCCCCTGGACTCTGCCTCCAGCAGCCGCAGAAGCAGCATATCTTCACATGTGAGTCTCACAGTACTGACCTCACAGAATGTGACTGTGAGTTTGTGCCTTTGGTGATGAGAGTGATTTTGTAATGCAGGATAATCATGGAGCTATTAAAATGAACAAGCAATTGCAGACTACATTGTAAAACTTCAACAAACAATCACAAACTAATTATAGAATTATTTTTTTACTTTGATTAGTCCCTGACATTCAAATGCGAATTTGCTGTGTAAAGTCTGCAAAAGCTTATAGCATTTACCTATTACATAAATTTTATTGCTGTTCAAAACATGTAGTAAATATATTTACATTTTGTTGGACATATTGACTAATATCCCTTTTAAGTGATTTTTTTGAACATCAATTGGTAATGCAGGAGAGCTTCAATGTGCTGGACTGCGGTATCTACAGGGTGATCAGTCGAAGAGGAAGCCAGTCAGATGAGGAAACCAGTTCCCTGGTCAGCCAGTCAATGCTCGAGGAGGAGCGGCTGAAGGAGTTTAGCTTTGTGCATGAGGAGGAGCCTGTGGAGCCTGGTAAGGGCTGTGACCTTTGACCTGGCTCAGTGGTTGCTGCTTCCCCTCTGGTCCACTACAGATTTCTGTGGAATGAAGGGCACCTCAAAAAGGGAATTTTTTTTTTACAAATAAAGGCACTATTTTAAAAATGTTTTATATATTTCTGACTTAATTTCTTATAAAGTCTATTTCTCGCAAACACTGTCTTATTAAAGTGGTTTGACAGTTGAAGTTTTTGTGTGACATCACTCTTGAAGAACTTCTATGAAATTATTCAGCCACTCCCCTACATCCCAGCCACGGAAGTAAAAGGGCAGACAGACGATTAGTGCTTTCCTTACACTGTCCGACATGCCCATGACATCTCCATGCGTGTTCCTTTGTTGCCCATTCAGCCGTGTGATTCTTGTGTATTACTGGCTGAGGTGGTTTTGGACTCCGCCCTTTGATTTGTTTGTGTCATATCCTGTCATCCACCTCCGTGTCATTTCTCTGCTTCACCCCATCCTGCTCTGCAAACTCTGGCCCCCCACGATCGCCACCCACCCCCGCTTCAGCCACCTCCGATCCCCCGCCCAGCGAGCGCACAGAGCCCGAACGCTCCGAGTCCGGCCTTCAGTTTCACCTACCCCTCTCATTCCGCCCCAAACCCCCCCGCGTGGCTCTGCAGGCTGTTCGAGACAGGTGAGTGCCCCCACCCCGCCCTGGCCACCAGACATCCTTGCATCAACCATGCTCATTGGTTTCAAGTGGTCACTGTGCGGTTAAAGACAGCATGGTCCAAGAGCTGACCAATCAAAAGCAGCGCGAATGTCAAATCATTGTCGTCGACACATAGCTTGTATTGGGTTCTGCACAAGTATTTATTCAAGCAACCAGCATAGTCATTGAAGAGGTTGGAGAGGTCAAGAAGTCCCTACGTTTGTGTGTCAAATGAAAATGAGTCAAGATATATTCAATCTATAAAGGCAAAAAAAACAAGATCAGAAATCTGATTTCTGATGCTCATGGGCACAGATGAATTGAAGTTTTAAACATCGAGGACGTTAATGAGTTCCAGAGTATTATTAGGATGTCACTTTGAGAAGTGAAAATGGCATATCTTTCAAACAGCTGGTCATGTGGAGTCCCCCGTACACCAGATAAGTTTTCCCAGTTCCCATTTTAAGTGAAACTCAGCTTTTAGAAAGAGAAGTGAAACTGATACAAGTAAAAAAAAAAAAAAGGCTTTGTTGCTTTTTTTGTTGTTCTTTTTGGGAGGGCTTACAGCTCGCGTCTATAACCAGACACTTCCTGCCTGGGGCTGGCCAGCAACCCGTGTCTGTCCTTCACGTCTCAGTCCTGTTCAGAAGCATCGAGGAACCTGAGCACGAGTAAATTAGGGTCGTGTTGTGAGCTTGTCACCCAGCACTGGTTAGTAGGTAGGGCAGTGGATTCACATAACATTAGGATGAATCGCTCAAGTGAATGATCATGTAAGTTGTTCTGCGGTTCAGTGCGTGCGGAGTTTCACAATCTGCGTCTTCTAATGACAGGTGACTCTTTGCTTTATGATACTTTCGTCGTGCGTCATTTAAGTGTTCAGGCTTGGCTCGGTCTCTGACCGTTTCCTGTTGTTTTTTTTCTTCTTGATGTCTGTGTCTTTGATATTTTTCCTATCCCAAGACGGTCAGGGTGCAGGTGCCAGTGAATCGGTCTGCTTGGAACATTGATCGTGATGCTGATTTGTAGCTTTCTTTTACTTGTTTTTCGTTCGCGAGACACGAATTAGGAAAATCGCCATGTTGGGACCATAACTGCTGTTTATATTGCTGTGGCACATTTATAGTGGTGCTGTATGTGATACTAAATTAAGTGCTAGAGAGAGCGATGGAAGAAAGATCACAAACTGATGATTTCCTTTGTTTTATTTGGACGTGATTTTTGATGTTTCTTTTTTTGCTCTTTCATTCTCAGTGTTTCCAGCTTTGTAAAGAAGACCTCTGAGAGGATAAACACCCTCCAGATGAACTCTGACCTTTGGCCCCGTCCCGATCAGAGAGAAGTAGGGCAAAATGACATCACGGCTGAAATGGCATCGTTTCCAGAAGAACTGGACCGCCTGTGAGTTCTGGGATGGTACCAGTCCTATTTCGGGTCTTTCTCGGAAATCTTCACAATTTAAGAGAAACTTGTGCTGGTGACAGTATTAGGGGGTTGTATCTTTTTCAGTAAGTACATTTCTGACTAAGATAATGTTTTTATTGGCAAATAAACATGCATCTCAGAATTTATAGCCTTAGTTTTTTCATTCAGGCCCCATAAATATTCCCATGAATACACAATCTATCATGATAACAAATATATAAGAAATATAACAAATTATCCGGATTGGTCTACTCAGGGCAACAAGGTTACAGGTTACTAACCCGTCTTTCACTTTGAGTTGCTCTAAAGGTGGGAATTGCCTCGCCAGAGAGAACTTCCCCACTGGTTGTCATTTTTGTTTCTCTTTTTTTCACCCCCCCCTTGTACCTGCATACTGGCAGTAAACCGCCGTCTGCCATATTTAACACAGTGGGAAAATTACACCAATCCATCCATCCATGGTGTAACCACATCTCCTGGTCAGGATCACATGGGGGACCCACAGCTCATCATAGACCGGCACTATGCTCTCAATCATACCCAAAGTGTAATTTAGAAATGCCAGCTAGCACAACTCCCAGTAGGTGGCACTGGAGAACAGATCAATTTGACTGGCACGTTGATCTCTGTTCGTCGTGCAGATCTGACGCTGATCGACCCAGTTCAGACACTGATTGGGAAGAGCTGAGAGGAGCAACTCAGAAAGCAGTGTGAGTATTGAACAGGAATATAAACTAACTGTGTTTGAAGGCCTCTATCAAGGTGTATAGCACAGGTCCTAAATAGCAGCTACATGCTAACCGTCTCTTACAAACCCTGATGACTGAAGGAATTATATGTGTGGTTTCTGGAATGTGAGACTGTGCCACATACTTGTATTCTGTTCCTTCGGCACTTTAGGATCCTGATTCAAGATCCGCTTCTTCTCCTGGACCCAGCTTGTCTGCGGGAGGTTCTGTGGCAGTGGCTTTCAGTGCTGGAACAAATTCTGGGCCCAGAGGCGATCCCTCTGGCTGGACAGTATCCCTCTGAGGTACATCACCCTGAGAAAGACGCCCAGGGGCCAGAGCCCCCAGGATGCCAGGTAGAGGAAAGCGCTGTTGGGATCGGGGAAGTCAAGGAGCCGGAGGGGATGCTGGCGCCGGCTGAGGAGGGGCAGCAGGTTGGCGCGGAGTCCAAGCTGGGGGCGACACTGATGGAAGACACTGAAGTGAACGCAACCCAGCAAGAACCAGTACGTGTGAAGCCTCCTAGGCCCATACCGTCTGACCTGCAGGCCGACCTCACCCAGCTGGCCTCTCTCTGCCTGGACCTCGGCTGTTTCCATGGTAACGCTCTACAGGAGCGGGTTCGAGCGGAGGAGCCCATGGGCCCTTGCGTGTTTCTCCGACGGTACTTCTTTCTACTGGACCCCGAGCGGACGCGACGGTGCTGCCTGCTGCGCTACCGGGACCAGCCGGCGGTGTGGAAGGCCTACATGGCAGGCCTGCAGGGTGAGCCCAAACCTGACTACTGGCGCTTTGACCTTTGACCCTGTTCTGCAGGCCTTTGCATTTACCTTGCAGATGTAAACTGGCCCCCTAGGCAGGGGGTTCCTATATTTCTACACCAGGAACAGATGACATCAAGCTAAAAAATACTTTATATCAGGGGCGGACTAACTTCTCTGGGGGCCCTTGGCTAACATGGGTAGGGGCCCCCTGAGGGTGCCTTTGAAGATATTCTTTGGATCTGTAAAAAAAGAGGGAAAACGATGGATTTATGATAATTTATGAGACATCAACGATGGAACGTCAATAATATGCTAATCAAAGCATGGGGTCCCAGCGGTAACAGTTACCGATCAGGGTGGGGGTGCTGTTGGTAATATCTGGGGGGAGGGGGGTGTCATGCTGGTGGATTGATCGGCAAAATATAATTAATAATAAATATTTCTTATTATAAATTATAATATTTTAACCAAAATTGATGTATAAAAGGTTTGGACATTTGATGTAGAGTTGGGATCAGCAGGGTTGTTTGCCCCTCTGCAACCCCACCCCCTCCTTGCCTGTTTGGGTCATGTGACTTACTCCACTGCATTTTGGTTCTGCGTCTGTGTATGTGACGCAGCGCTGACGGGCTCCAGCGCGGTGGTGGAGGTGATCGAGAAGGGAGTCCTCCTGAGGTCCCTGAAGAGCCTAAGGGAACTGCAGCCCTGGACGTCCTCCTCGCTGCTTGCCCACCTGCAGAGGTATGGCCCTCCCTCCCACTCCATGTCTCCTCCTGTCCAGGGTCCCTTTGCTCTGTCGTCACATGCTGCACCCCCCCCCACCCCAGGCTGTACGAGAAGCATGGGGAGGCAGCAGTACGCTCCTTCGTCCAGTTCTACCCCAAAGTCATCCCCTGTGATGTCATGGCTATGGCTCAGAAGAGCCACTTCCTTGCATATCTGGATAACTTGGTCCATTCGCAGGCTGAGGAGCAAAGGTATGGGCAAGGTCTTCAGAAGGTCAAAGCTTCCACAAAACCTCTTAGTCAATACATCTGTATTACATACAATCGCTTCTGAGCATTTTGAAAAAGCTGTAAGTCATTAATGTTCATACTAGTCTAAGTGGAGCCTGATAAAGTCTTTTAGGAGAATTCTGTCTTCTAATTGAAGATTTTCTGCCTCCTCCTATGTTCTTTTTCCAGACTTTCGTTTTTAGGTTCCCTTCTTCAGCCTGAGTCACTACGGCAGGATTGGCTTGAGCTTGCGCTATCCCATGATGCCCCTCACCTAGCAGACACAGTAACCCCAGAAGGACAGCCTAGGTACTGCACTGTCACATGCAGCTTTGTGTGTCTCTGCAGAGTCCGCATGCATATGGACTATGATTCCTCCGCTCTCTACTCCAGGTGGCTGTCGCACCTCTTCACCTGGGGATATGGCCGTCTCCTCTCCCTTCTCATTCGCCTGCCAGCTGATTTTGCTTCTAAGCAGAAGATGGCCGAGTTGTGTAAAACCCATGGGTGAGAGTATCTTGACAATATTGCACAACAGTATCTACTAGGGATGCAACGGTACTCGGTAAAATACTCAACTGTTCGGTCCGCCCTGCACCGTCTAATACGCCCTTATGGGCCGTGGGATTTCGGTTTTGCGATTCATTTTGAAATAGGTGCTTACTGCTTAACAGGCTACTGCGCCAATGGGCGAAAGTCCTCCCCACGAGTTAATGTCCAACCACCGATGGGCCCCCACCCGCTCGCCCCCTCCCACACTGTTGTAACTGGAGCTGAGCTGGAAGTGCAGCTCGCACACAGACGTGGGAAAAAAGAGAACAAACAGGCCTGGCCAGCAGTAGCGGAGGAGCTGAGGGAAAATATTTCGAAGAAGCACCGGCTTCATTCAAATCTCCGGTGTGGGGAGGTTTCACTGTTGAATACGTGGACGAGGGAGTGACAACAGCTAACAGAAATTTCACTGCCTGCAAACGTTGCTTGAAACATGTTCCATACTCAAAAGGAAACACAAGCAATATGACTGAGCATCTCCAGCGTAAGCATCCTGATATAACGCTTCCTGAACACAGGACAGTCGGGCGACTCGAAAAGCTAACCGCAGCAAAACAACAGTTGTATGGAAAATGCATTTGGACAGACCTACCGTGCCACTTCAGATAAACACAAGAACATAACCCCTGCAGTGGTCTCGCCTTGCAGCTGACAGTGCTGACAGGCTCATCTTCTTACAGAAGAATCTCACAATAGCAGAGGAATAAACAGGTCGTGCCCATATTGGCTAATTGATATCGCACTTTACATCCCGAATGTAGCCTATCCGGAACTATTCTTATGTTTATTTAAAATGGGCAAAGCACTAGCTATTTCTGAATTTGTTTCCTCCAGATTGCATATGCCAGCACTTTTTCTGTTGAAATTGTTTACTTCTCTTTTTATACTACTGTATAATACTGTATACTGTATTATGTATACCAGTAGTCAAGGCTAAGAGGCACTTTAACATTTTTGAAAGTGTTTTTTGTTTACATTTTGTATGTTTAAATTTTATATTTTATACATGAATAAGAGGCAGTTTACCATTTGAAAGTGTTGTGTTTTGTAACTGTTAACTTGAAAGAAAGGTGTTATATTATTCAGTACAGCAGTGATACTGGAATTTGTTCACTGTGAAATGCAGTTTTTACTGACAAGCAAAATAAAGATATAATTTTAGGAGAAAAAACTTTCTCTTTACGCACAACATGTACCGAAACCGTGGCCCAAAAACTGTACAGTGGGATACCTGTACCGCTGCACCCCTAGAATCTACTAGGGTCATGTACAACTGTATAGTGGATTAGGGATTGGTCCTTTGTCCAGAAGGTTTTTGGTTCAAATCCCATCACTGGCAGCTCCATCATATCACTGCTGAGAGTCTTTGAACAAAGCCCTTAATGCCAAGTGCTTAAGGGATGCTGGCTCTCCCTGTTCTCTGACCCCACTTGTATGTTGTAATAAATAAATGTAAAAGTGATCTACTGGACCTGTTGGATTCAGGGGAAGCTGCCAGGAGGAGAGACGTAAGGACTGCGCTCCTGGCACTCAGTAGTCCCATGCTAACAGGGTGTTCATTCTGCAGATACTGGCTGGGTTACCTGACTCTATGCTGCGAGCTGCGTCACAGACCCCAGGCATTTGCCACCGTCTGCCGGCTGGATGACATGAGTCTGCTGCAGGAGAAGAGCGGTGAGGGTCGGCACTCGGTGTCAGGGGTGGGGCTATCCCGCCCCTCAAACCGCGGGGGGGTGTGAACACCCGCTTATGGACACTGATATGTCTCATGCTGAACTTTTTTACTTTTCCTCTTTGCCCCACTGGCTATCAGGACTAATGCCTGAGACTCTAGACGAATGGAAGCTCCTCATCCAGCTTTCGCAGAGCTGCTGCGACGCTTCAGAGCCCGATTCCGGCCCGCGAAGCGCCCATGATGGCGGCTTATCCAACGGCTCCTGCGACCAGAGCAGCCGCATCACCCCCGAGAGCCTGACGCTGCAGCTGGCCCGGGTGGTGGGGCCGGACCGCGCCCTGGACGTGCTGCAGAGCTGGGGGGTGCGTGTGGATCTGGGCCCACACTCCACCGTGGTGTGCGAACTCCTGAGGATCGCAGAGAAGAGACAGAGGTGAGAGGCCGTGCTCATCATCTGGCCACTCGCATTCTGGGCCTCATTGATTGTTTTGGAATCCTCAACGCCTGCGACAGTCATAAATCAACAGTCATAAATCAACAGTCATAAATCAACAGTCATAAATTCCTCTTTAACTTATAAGACTGCAGCTTTGAAAATCAAGTTTACCACACAAAACAATGACTTGCAAGCCAGTAATCCTTAAAGTAACTCAATGACTATTAATAGCCTGTGGTCAGTTATAGTTGAAATAGGTGACCTAATAAAAAAGTATGTAAAAAAGTATGCAGCTGTAAAAGCAAAGGACCTAAATTTGTACTCTGCAGGTTAATCTGGGTTTCCTCACTAAGGCTACGTTCACACTGCCATGCTGAAGTGACTCAAATCGGATTTTTTGCCTTAATGTGACACAGATCTGATTTTTTCAGGGCTGTGTGGACACGCAAATCTGATCTTTTCAAATCGGATTTGTGTCACTTTCACATGTGGTACTAAATCTCATACGTATCCGATTCGCGGCCATGCAACCTGAATGTGACGCTCAGATTGAAATTCATGTGGCTTTTTGCTTATACGCATGCGCTGACATCATCAGCCTGCACCGGCAGCGCGGGAAGGTAAAAATGGAGGAGAGCTGCGATAACAGCCAGTGGAAGGATGGAGAAGGTGGGGATTTAATTGAAATTTGGGGAAATTAATCTGTTCAAGCTAAACTGGAAGGAACCTATCGTAATAGAGTAGTATTTGAAATAATTGCCAAAGAAATGGCACAGCGCGGACACAAACATGGCTACAATGCCAACAAAAAATAAAGAGCCTGAAGTCAAAGTTTAAAGAGGCAAAAGACTCGAATCAGCGCAGCGGTCATGGTCGCACAACGTGGCAATTTTACGACCAGCTTTTTACCCGCGTAAAAACGTATTAATGTGCGCATGCGTGACGTTTCGGAGGACCAATGCGTTCACATTACAGTCAGATACAGGTCACTTGTACTTATGAATGTGAACCGTCAAGATAGACAAATCCGATCTGAGCAAAAAAATCGGAATTGAACGATGTGGCTGGCAGTGTGAACGTAGCCTAAAACATAGTTAGGATGGTCCTTTATGTTCTACCTTTTTATGTTGACTCTTCAGGAGAGGCATCATCATCAGATATCATACACCTACTGTCAAGATTCCATTAATATGTCATCAAAGACCTCAGAATTAAAGTAACGGATGGCCATGTGCCCTTGCCTGTGCATGACCTGCTTGCAGCTTGTCTTTGTACCGTATATCTATGTGACCCTGGTACTGAACGCCCGCATGTGTCTGTTGTTGCACCGAACTGTGAGTGTCTCCCATCTTTCCCTTAACAGGGCCCTGATACGCACCATGCTGGAGCGCTGTGACCGATTCCTCTGGTCCCAACAGGCCTGACCCCTCCCTCCAGAATGGGAAAAGAGTCTGCACTATTCCTTCCTCTTTGGGGGGCGATGTCAAGACCAATCCTCAAAGAAGGGCTGTCCAGTAATGGCCTACTGAACAGAGGATGAGCCATCATATTTAAATTATGTAACTATAAATAATTATTTAATGTTTATTATAGAGGTCTATTGAAAAGCTACAGTATTAATATTGAATTTCTTCAAAGGTTTTAACCTTGATCAGAAAGGTACACTTTACAGTAGTGATGTTGCTCTAGTTGTCGTTTTAAAAGTCCTGCACTGTCCTGCACATTGTTTTTAGTTTGTTTACCTGGAGTTTGGCCCATGAGTTTTGGAGTGAAACACACGACTGCTTTGGCAGATGCGTTCTGTTACTAAATGTGCATCTTAATGTCTATTCCTCATTAAACCCCTTCGGTCCTTGTTAACAAGTGCTTTCTTGGTCTCACTCGATACCAAACCATGGAAGTCAAATCTACACTAGTGGTGAATATTGTGTAAATCCTCCCGGTTTTTAGAGACTGAAACTTTATTCCAATTACTCCAGTTACTTATTTTATTGCGCAGCATTCTTTGATTGTTTGTAAACATTACCGCCAATATTCATGTAATAATTTTTACACAGTAATACCAAAAATGCTAAGTGATTCTACAATTTTGGCCACTAGCTATCTCCTGAGCTATTAGTTAAGTTCTTCCCAAACGAGCTTGATGGGCCTCCTCTCGTTTGTAAATTTCTTATGTTCTAGTGTATATATACTGGACACCACATACAAATTTAAAAAGCGCACACACTCCTACAGAAATCCTGGAATATATTTGAGGATTTAGTGTACATTAGACAGACGTTGCAGAAAAGATAACCGTATGGTTTTAATAAGCAGTCAAATGAATGACCGGTACAGTTTGTTTCAGAATGCAAAGAAGGGTTCGGTCAGGTGGCAGGGAATGCTGGGAGTTGTAGGGTTTTGCTGAGCTCTGCACCTCAGTACTTTGTGGGGAGGGCTTTAGATCTGTAGTGCTTTGGGTCGCCCCCATTGTGGGCCCACTCACTGGCTCTCTGGGCTGCTGCAGTGTCTTTGTGACCACGCCCACTACTGCCCAGGAATGACTGCAGAACCTCACTGTGGGCAGAGAGATGGAAATAAGAGTTATACACAGATACTACAATATACATTTATCAGTTTTTACTGCTTTTGTCTACTATGCTTTTGGTGGTGAAGCAAGTAAACCAATTAAATTAATTTGTAAGGTCAGGTCTCAGAAGAGGCAACACTGTTGCAACTACCCTCTGCCACATAGTCTGATTGGCATGAGTCACTGGTCACTGAATTAACTCTACATTAATGACCTGAATGTCTGGAACAGTACGATTACAAAGGGAGCCTTGGATGATAAGCATTCAGTAATCGTCATGGAGACCACAGATAATGTCCTGCCTGAGGACTTCAGCTGCCCACCTCCCCCCAGGACCCCTCCTGGCAGCGTCATAGTTGCCCCGACTGTGGAAGTATTTGCCAGAGTCCTTCCAGTTGGCCTCCTTCATGTCTGAATAAGCTCGCCACATGTCACGCGAACCTTGAATGAGACAGAGACACCAATAAACAATACAGATCTTGGCAAAGTGTATTTCTTTCTGGTTTCAAGGTAACCACATCCATGCCTTTAAGCATTCAGTCTGATTCCTTGGTAGTTTTTGCTCTGCTCTCGCTATGACCGTAAACCATTTGTGGTAAAGCTGCTATCCGCAGAATGAACACAATAAAACAACATGGAAGAGTAGAGTTAAAATAAAGAAGCATTTTTACCCTGGATGACTTCTTTGGTGAATCTTACTGCTTTTCTGGAAAATTTGTACCATTGGGCTTGGGCTCCCACCACCAGAACTAGAACCAGTCCAACCAGTACCAGCTTCATTTTTCTTCTTTAGAATTTGAGTCAAAAGTATAAGAAAGGTAGTAATGATATTAATTAATAGCGTCTTCCAAATGTAACTAAAATATCAGTATTGTCTAACTTTTGCACAATAATTTGTTTAGGAACGGTTACAGCTGCGAAATATTTAATTTGTAATGTTTCAACCTTAAACGGTTACCTGTTAAACGTGTAGAGTTTTCACTATTTCATTACAGAGGGTCATTACTCACCTGATGCTACCTGTCGTGTCTATAATAGGGCTGTCAAAATGAACTTCTTAACCCATCAAATGCGATTAATTAAAAATAACACAATGAGATTTATGACATCATTGTACAGTGCATTATGGGGCAACCATATAAATCATTAATGATTGCAATAGACATTTTTTTGTACTCGTCATTCATGACCTACGACATGGTTATATCTGAAATATACTTTGTAATTATTCTACATTAATTTGGCAGTTGATTTTACATTTAAATATACATTATAACAAGCTTTAGTCTTTAATCATGTTTTTAATCATGATTAATTTATTTCAAATTGTGTGATTAATTAGTTACTTTTTTAATCAATTGACAGCCCTAGTCTATACAAGAGGTTCTTTACTCACCCAGTGCTTGCAGGATTCTCTGTCAGTGCAGTCAAATGCTCTGTGTAGGAGATACCTGATCTGAGACCTGTAGCTTTTCTTATATCTGCGAAACCAGGGTTTTCTTCCAGGTAGGCTGGTCCAGGTTTGCAAGTCCCATATAAGGCAACAACGGAAGAACTTTTCTGGGGAAAGTCCAAAATTTCATAAGCATTACGGATGAAGCACATGGAATGAGCTGGTGAATTTAGCTGAAAAAAAATAGTTGTTTTTGACTTGCCGACTAGACTGATCCCGACCCTAATTTGATGGAGCACCTGAGTTCTGATTGCAGTGTGAAGATTGTCTGTGTTTGATGCAGGCTTACAAACTGCCACATGCTTTTTATATAGCTTATGTGCCTGGATTGTTTTGGTGGATTTGGTCATTTCCCCCATCTCTGTGGAAAATGGTGGAATTTTACGAACTAGGTGGGCATGTTAGACTGGTTGTGCTATTACCTGCTTTCCGTTTCGTGATGCATGTGAGGATGATTTAAAACCGAACTGGTTAATCCAGTATGTAGATGATGGCAATGTCCATAACTATGTTCCATGTTAACATGAAAATAGACCTGGTTCTCATGTGAATTTCACACCAGTAACTTGTACTACAGCCTATGGCTCCAGAAATCAGGGCTGCACCCCACCTTGGGAATAATCTCACAGATAAACTTCCCCCCACCTGACAAACTTCACCTCCGACACCCTGCATGCTGATTACAGGATTACTGATTTTGCATCATTTTTTTTGTGTCTCTCATTTCTCTTTCGGCTCAACAAATAGCTTTAGTTGCCTGTTTTGGAGTCACTGGTCAGTACCCCTCAGGTTAAGTTAGAGACCCCTGGATTAGTTAACTCAGCAGCACCTGAGTGTACATGCTGCTGTCAGGTTAGGGCCCCCACAATAAGTTAATCGTTGTATCAGTAACATACAGTAGCATGCTGTTACCACTTGGTTCTTAACATGCCCGTGTTAGCTCGCCTAACATTTAAGTAAAACATCTGCAGTACATTAACAATTTGCTTACATGGCTTATTTAGGTATGAAACTGACTAGATAATTTAGCCTTTTATTAATAGAGATATAACATTTACCCTATGAATATATTCATGTAATGTGTGCTACAAAAATTGGGCTATTGCATTACAAAGAATTTATTATAGATGGTCAGATACATGCTTTTGTTAATAACATATTTTCCTTTTTTAATTTTTCTCTGTAGTGTGTCCAAAGTTTTATGGTTTTGATGGGGGTGTCAGATTTGTATATGAGACTGTGATGTGGTGCATCATACGTTAATGTTTTGTCTTGTTTTCTTGAGCTGAGATGTAAAGTCTGTAAGCTTTACCTGTTACCTTGAAATTTAGTGACAAATATACTCACATAATTTTTTTAGGTATAGAGCATATTTGGATCATAACACTGAGATCCACAGCCAATACATTTATGTGTTTTTTCACAGTGTTGAGATAATGAACAATTTGAGTGATGTAACGCAGGTCAGAATGTCAGCACACTTTTACCTGAAGACTGCAAGTCTTTATAAATTACTGTATCCTTCTAAATTAAGAGGTGGCTGGAACTTTCTTTGACTGATGTCTGGTCTCACACAGTCACACTTCATCCATCCATCCGTTTTCTCTACCCGCTTGTCATATTCAGGGTCACGGGGGGGATCCGGAGCCTCTCCCAGAGGCTAGGGGCGCAAGGCAAGGGAACAATGCAGGATGGGGTACCAGCCCATTGCAGCATTTATATCTCTATCAAAAAATATCTTCATTTCCTCAATGGCATAAACTACTGTGGAACTTCCTTAGTCACAGGCCAGAGCAATGGATTTGAACTGAAATTACAGGAAGTAAAACTGTTAGGGATCTGAAAATAGGCATGTGGTGCCGCTGACAGTCTGTACAGCACAGAGACTGAGTAATTATGGGAAAACCCCTAAATGCACCTGCAGGTATTCTCAAGTATTCTGCCAACTGGCACCAAGGTTTGGTCACCTCTGCATTTAAATTTGCATACAGATCTGGCAAGGTCTCAAAGCCGTTACTGGAAGTGACTACATCCTCCCAGTCGCGTGTGTCTTTGTAAGATAGAGGAAGGCAGCCGCTTGATTTTGGTCAAAATTAACTTTTTGAAATTTGCAATAAAAATGAACTTATTTTGAATGCAATGACAAAACACGATAGACAGCACTTTGTTGGTCGAAGGGGTTCACACACAAAAACTGATATGGTGGTTGTTTTACAGTATGCATTACAGTATGCATTTATACATGCAATGCAGTTAACGAATTTCAACAATATTCATACCTGACGACTGTGAAGACCATTCAGTGACCTAAATTTTTGTTTCGTTTCTGTAAGTACAGGATTGTTGGTTTGCATTATTTAGTTTTTCCACTGGATTTAAAGTATTGCAGTCTAATATTTTTGATTTATAGTAGAATTCATTCTTCAGTCCACCCACATTTCATTTTGCCACAGGCTTCCACACAGTCCCAAAGCAAAGCATGATGCTTTCTTCAAATGCTTCATCTACTGGCAGTACCAGGAAATGTGCACTAGATGGCAATGTGGTTAAGGGATGGAATGTTGCCTTGGACAGTCAATGTTGGAAGTGAGAATCTGTTGCTAATTAGGTGAGTTTGAGTTATTTATCAGCTGACTTCACTTTATTTTGTATTATAAATGTTTTCTCACACACTTCGATAAGGCCCTTCATTCAGAATTGATTACACTGTTGCTTGTATGTAAGTGAGGGGTGCCTAATCATCTTCTAGAATTGAATCCACTTTCAAATATAACTTTACATAACTATGCATAATATAGTAATCATCTTTTAAATTGAATTCTTCCTTCTAAAGCAAGAAAGATTACAAGAGACATGGAGACTAGTTATTTCAGAGCATGTTTATTTGTTTGTTCTTAATTTTGACACAAGGCACAAAAGTTATTACATGGCTCTGTCCATCATTATTTCTCATGATATATTAGATGCTTGATAAGGAAATGAATAGGCAGCAAGGTTAATACATATATGCAGTGTGCATTTTTAGTCTAGTGAAAATGTTATCATCCTCATGAAAGTGTGTCCAGATCAGTTCATGCAAAGCAAAGCACAGGCTTTCTTAGCAGACGTAAAATTCTGTGGGGCTCAGTACTTGCTGTCGAGTCCTCTAGGCCTGTAGACGTTTGGGTCTCCCCCATTTCGTCCCCAGCGATTGGCCTCCTGGTCTGCTTCTTCGTCATTTTCCCCACGCCAATCGATTCTTTGTATCCTCTCACGGGCATTGCTGAAAGTGGAGGAGAGAGAAGATGGAGGTTGGTTTTAGGCCCAAACTTTACGACACATCCAGTAACCGGACCTGACTTTGATCAGCAGGTGGCTGAGTGGTCGTATTATGAAGGTTGTATGAACAGATCTGAAGAGGGGAACTGTTCTCTTATTTTTCCCACTTCAGAAAAATGTCTTCTGTCAAATGCTAATCAAAGTCTGGATCAGGCTGAATCGTTTGTTAAGGGCAACACTATCGTCATGGAGACACAGCAGATATTGCCCTACCTGATGACTTTAGCTGCCCACCTCCCCCCAGGACCCCTATTGGCAGCGTCATAGTTGCCCCGAGCGTGGAAGTATTTGTCAGCGCCGATAGTGTTAGCTTTCTTCATGTCTCTATAAGCTCGCCACATGTCATGCGAACCTTGAATGAGACAGAGATACCAATAAACAATACAGATCTTGACAAAGTGTATTTCTTTCTGGTTTCAAAGTAACCACATCCATGCCTTTGTTAAGCATTCAGTCTGATCCCCCGATAGTTTTTGCTCTTACTATGATGATGCTAAACCATTTGGGTTAAAGCTGCTACCTGCACAATGAAGACGATAAAACAATAATCAATAGGAGATTGAAAATAAGGAAACATTTTACCCTGGAAGGCTTGCCCGGGTAATTTGTACAACTGGGCCTGGGCTCCCACCACCAGAACCAGAACCAGAACCAGTCCTGCCAGTATCAACTTCATTTTTTAAGGCCTTCAGAATTTCAGTCAGTAGCTGTAAGAAGTAAGAAATGCAGTGAGTATGAAAGCCTTAAATGACAACCTGCTTAATAAATACAGCTTTTTATGATTTTCTTATGGAGGGTCGCTTGTTCTACCATGTCTTGTATGCATATCGGAGGCTCTATACTCACCTGATGCCTGCAAGCTATTCTGCCAGTCCACTCTGATGAGCAGCAGGAGAAACTGGAGAGAATATGCCTGGTCCGGACCTGGGGTTTTCTTTTATATCCACAGGGACGGAATTTCCCTCCATTTGGCGAATCAAGCAAAAGGTAAAACGGGCCAAGCTATCCGGGTTGGGTATGGCCATGTAAAATCCTGCAGGAGGAAACCCTGGAACGACTCAATGGAAAATCCACTGTTGTTCAGTTATACCCTGTTACGCAACTATACTCAGTTGCTAGAACAGTCGAGTTATTTTGCCATCTGTATTGTTTTATACTGTTTTGTACGAGTTCACACTACGTCTTGCACTATTTTTAGACTTATTGCAGAGTTTCTGTACTGTCCTGTTGCTTCTCTTCCTGGGGCCGTCAGTCTGAACCCTAAATCCGCTGCAGATCTAATCTTGCCTGACTCAGAGGAGTTTTAAGAGGCAGTAATATATACAGTCCAATGCATGCATGTTTTATTGATTTAAGTAGAAGAGAAGACTGCAATGCAACCAAAGGGTTGGAGGTTCGAATCCCATCCCTGCTCTGTTTGTGTGGGTTTTCCCTGACAGTCCAAAAACATGCAGGTTGGTGAATTGTGGTCACAAGGCACAGTGGTGCATGGAAGCATGCATATAAGGCCCAGAAATATACACAGGACAAAGTCCAGTTCCTTTTGCAGGAATTTCAGATCACTTTCGGGAAATGTGCTGGCAGTAAGAGATCCCTTATATCAGCAGAATAAATGAGTCATTTGAAGTGATATTGCACTGCAGTGACCTTGCTATGAAAGTCTTTCACTTTTAGTTTTCACTATGTATCCAATATAAAGTTACGGCACAAAAGAAGAGAGTTTTCAATAAAATATTACATCAGAGAAAAGCTACTAAATCTTGCAGCTGGAAAAGAAGTTGACCATATAACTGAGATCATGCGTTATTTTAAATAAACATTTTCCATTCTTATCTACAATGTACTATATCTACATTCTCTACTTTGATTGTGTACAGCCTCTTCTACTCAGAAATGAGTACATATCACAAAATATATGATCTGGTTGGACTAATCTAATTAGTATCACTAAATGACCCCTAGTGCGTGCTTATGTCCGATTGTGCGCGTGGATGATGGACACGTCGGGTTCCTCTGCCTTGTGCCTGTGCTGCTTCATGCCGACCATGACAGCTCATTGTGTGACGTCATCTTGATTGATCATACAAAAGACTGCAAGGGGAGGTTGTACCTTTGGAGTACATCCTTATATGGCCCAAAATAATCAACAGCCTGACACAAACAAACTAGACGTGTTACACGGTTGAGAGCAGTGTAGCGCAAGCTTAAAAATGCTGCATGAAATTAATTAAGAAATATCAAACTACAACACATTCATTTATAGAGAGGGTAAAGCATTCTTAATTAGATGTAGAGAAACAATTTCTTTTTTGAAAGCACAACAGGTTTGAGAGGCACCTCTGTGTGGTTTCTTTTCAGTTATATTCACATTGATTTGAAAATCGAAAAAAATTATTAGGTTTTTAACAGTTGGTTTTTTTTAAGGTTTGTACATTTCTGTCTCAATATCAGAATATGGTGTAAAAAAAATGGGCAGAAAAATATTTGACACTCATCAGGTACATAATTATTAGTTATCTATATGTGGATACACTGTACAGACATAAACTTGCTTTTATCCATTCCCCTGTCATAACTCTGTTTTGATTGCATCGGTCCAAACAGGTGTCTAAAATGTACTGCACACCTGGAACTTCAAACAGGTGGCAGAGGGAGAATGAGAAGAAGAGGTCAAGGTCAATGAAAGTCAAAGTAAATCCCTACTACCCTCAACCCCTCCCTTTAATACTATCTGTAATGTAGAGAGTAAGACCATTTCTCAACCATACATCCTTCTGCGATTCGCCCTCCTTCTTGAGCCCTCTGTGTTCTCTTTACTCCACTCTTGCCCACCTGCTACCGATGTTCAAAGCCCTGGCGGACAGACGATCAGATCTCCAGTTCTGGCATGAGCATACGGAGCGGCCCAGCTTGCAGGTGAGAGCAGGCTGAACTATGATGTCATGCTTTCAGTCCTCCCACTCATTACGCCAATTTTCACCTACTGCCTTAATTTTCATGCAACTTTACAACCGAGATCAAATCGCAGCCACTTCAGCTACTCAGATTATCAGAAACAATGCTGAGAGAAACAGGAAATGCACCCTTTGCTAAACAGACCAGCTGCCAGAACTCTTCTCCGCTGCCTGAATCCTGAAGGTTAGGGACAGTATTTGAAGTTTCCAGTGGAAGCCTAAAGTACGATCTAGAGTGTGGCACAATGAACTCCCATCACCTATCATTCCTGCCGAATTACAGGTTCTAGTTACATTTTGCAGAGTAAGAACGATTTAAAGATTTAGCGTGGAAGGAAAAGGCGTAGGGCAAGTTAGCTGAATGTTCAGTGGTTAACCTGCTTACTGGGAGAAATGATGAGAGAGATTTGTTGATGAAACAGTGACAGTGAAGACACACATTCTCCATGGAGGGTAGGAGAGAGGGGGTCTGTAAATGAAAGGCCATGGGGAAGGGGGGGGGCGACTGCTGTTTTGATGTGAGACACTTGTCACCACAGACAGAGATGTAGATTCTGCACATACCTGTGAGCCCTGCCAAGGTACAAAAGCCGATCCCTTGACCGGGAGACACAGATGCTCAGGGGGGCTAGAGGTCTCGCACTAGCGTCGACGTGCGAGCACCGCGGAACTCCCCTCCTGACACACAGGCAGATATTCTCACCGATGCAAAGCGACAGACATACTGTTAAAGGCAAACACATAGCTATATATGTATAGAAAACACACTCGCACACAGACATACATTTCACTCATTATTAAGGGATCCCACCATACGGCATAAATCGCACTAAAACACAGCTTTACAGTCATTCTGGTATGAAAAAATCTTTTGCTTCTGGATTGCAAAATTCTCAGTTAATTTTCTTGAGAGACGAAGAAGCTGGCAGAAAGAGACTCAGTATGGTAAGACTCAGTATCTTATTAGTCCAACCTCTTTAATAGATTGGGACCAAAAAGGTTAACTAAATGCTTTGGATTAATAATTAACCAAATTGTCAAACACGGCGATGTTTTGAACTAACGGTTAATGAGCAAATGCTATGAACTAATAACTGTCATTTGTGCTACTGACAGCACTGCATTAAGTCACTGGATTTATTAAATTATCTGTAAATTAAATATTGCATTGCTTAGCTTCAGTCGCAGGTCTTTTGGCAGCATGTCTCTTTACTGATGTATTTTCAGCCTGATGATGTATTTGTGGTATAGCATGTCAGTCCTTTTTTTCAGCTACCTTCTTCCTTATTTGCTCTGGCTTTCTCATTGGTCATCCCCCAACTACCTGCCGCTATACGCCATTCCAAATCCCAGAATGCCTCAGGTATTCTCTGTTTTTCTTAAAAAGGATTAATCTTTATAAAAGTTAGATGTAGTAATAACAGCATCATCGTGATAGTGTGTTTGGCTAAATGGTATATAGCTGACAAAGTTTAGAAGAAATTTAAGTGCACAATTTGCCATATGTATAAAGTGATAGTGCTCCATGGTGTTCTGTGTACAAGCGTTGTGCATTGTGTGCCCAGCAGGGGGCGTTTATCCTGGCTCAAAGTTCTTACAGGAAGCTCTTAGGAAAGCCACTGAGCTAACCAATGCCGCATACGCCCGTACTAGGGAGAGGTGAGTGTTAGGGCTGTAATCCCTGCCTCGAGCACAGATTACTTAATTGGCAAAAAATAAATCAGCCCATACATAAAACTGTGCTATGTTCTACTGTAAAAAAAGACATACCTTGTGTACAGAATCTGAATAAAAAATGTGGATCAATTAAATAAATAGAATATTGTCTTTTTGTCGTACAACTATTCTTTTAGTAGGACCAGGAATTTTTATAGGACCTATAAAATGCAAAGGAGATGAAGTTTATAATTGCCATGGCAATACTGTGAGCTGGGGAAGCATGAGAATGAGACACGGGTAACTGTGGTTATTTGTATTGATCACTTTCACCTGTCTCCTCTTTTCTGTAATATCTATTTTCTTTTGCCCCAAGTTACCATATCACCACAGCATCTGCACTCTTCCCACTTCAGTCGTTTCTATATTCCGCTGTGACACAGGAGCTCCGTGCTTCTTTGTTTTCTCCGCTGCCTTATTCCTGTACCCTGGCTCATGTTTCCACTTTCAGCATCAGCATAACCCTACCTAGTCCCTGTCCAACCCCAAAGACGGAAAGCAGTCTAAATCAACATGCTTCTCGCTGCCAAGTCTGCATGACAAATGGTTCTGTTTGCTTATCCCAACTTTCTCACACAAACATTCTTATCTGAACTAGCTTGTCTAACGTTGAACAATAAAGGGCGCTGAAGAAATTCTGGATATTCTGTTATGTGTCACTTGTGTCATGTGATCTGTTATTTGCTTGTTATTGGTGTTGTTCTCTGTGTGGCCCAGGGTGAAGATTCTCCTGTCAGAGGGCTCCGTCAGCCCCAGTGACCTGTTGTCCCAGTTCAAACACGCGGGGCCACGGACCAGAACCCACGTGCGGGCAGCAGAGCTGCTGGACACCACGGTGGAATTAATCAGAGAGATGGTCTACACCCACAGCATGACCCAGCACAACTTCACTGGTACTGAGATCCCAGATGATGCTCACTTTGGGTGTTAACGTCACTGAACGAGACTCATAGACCAGGAAACTTCCCAAACACAATCACCAAACTGTCACCCGTCTGCTGAACTATGTGCTGACATGTGAGAATGGTTGTTGGGAGGATGTGGTGTGACAGGCCTGCTGTCCCCAGAGCTGCTGAGCGGGGAGGACATGGATGAGCTGCTGCACGCCACAGGCTGCTCCGCCGAGCTGCGCCCCCCCCTCTGCCAGACGGACTGCTTGTCAAACCGCTATCGCACCATCGGCGGGGAATGTAACAACAGGTGTGTGCCGCCACGCTAACAGAAAGTCTGCTGCGTCACTGAGGCCCTCATCAATACTCTAAGGCCATGTCTCTATTTCCCTCAGACAGCACCCCCTGTGGGGGGCAGCCAACACCGCTTACACCCGCTGGCTGTCGCCACAGTACCAGGATGGGAGGGCGGTTCCTCGAGGCTGGGATCTCCAGTATGGTTACCATAATTTCACCCTCCCCCCGGTGAGTACTAGCCCAGCGTAGCATATATAGCATGGGTCCCCGTATCCCTGCTATAGGTCACCTATCAGTGTTTCTCCAACTAACCCCTGGACCAGGGTTCTTCAACTCTGGACCTCGATTCCAAATCCAGGCCGTGTTTTCAGTTCTCCCAGGTAGTTGTTTAATAATTACTGATTCTGATTGGTCAGAGGCTTCACACCTGACTGACAGGTAAAGGAAGGCTGGAAAACCAGCAGTGCTCGGACCTCGAGGACCGTGAGTTGAATAACCCTGCCCTAGACAGTCCACATTTTTGCTCTCTCCTAACTCCCAGGGAATTGGGAGAAAAGAGAAAATGTGAACAGTCTGGGGGTCCCTGAGGACTGGTTTTAAAAACACTGATCTATAATATACAGCATAATATACAGACTTGCGTTCACATTTTGGACCGGGACCATCGGACGCAAGTCAGTTTGGGTGTTCCTCGATAATGTAGCTGTCTATCACATATACATTATGTATGTATACTGTATTACGAGTTATATAAGGACAGTGGGTCGTTAGATGGCTGACAGCTTTGCTCATTCTCCTGCACCTGTTACACTAAGCAATGCAGCCACTAACTAACATTATACTATGTCTGCTTTCTGACATCTCTTCACGCTTGCTGTAGTATCAGCAATAGTGCCAAGAGAATTGTCAGTCGCAGCTATACCCCTGACAGTATAAGGGCAGCCCTATCCTTCGCGTTTCCTCCCCGTTTGGCCAGCAGGTGTTACTGGCCATCCTGTCCTCCTCCCTGTGGCTTCCATCAGCCCTTGTGTTTTGTTTGCTCCTGGGATTGTTACATAGTGCAGTGGGCTGAGCATGTGGCTCCGAGACTAAACCTGCAGGTTATGGGTTTGAGGCTTAAAACCAGCCTCACCTGATATGTTTTGCTTATTTGAATTTTTGTTGTTTCTGGTGTTTCTTGTGTTGTTTTGGTTTCTGTTTTGTACCTTTGTGATTTTGTAATTATTCTACTTTGCTCAGGTTTCCTAGTCTCAGATTACTTTTTATAGTTTGTTAAACTTCTTAGTCCAGTGATTGTCTTTGTAATTAGTTCCACCTGTTGCCCAATTATCTGTGCCAGTACTTGTTAATTGTTCTGCCTGTTGCCTCTTGTCCTGTGTCCTTGCTGATTGGTTGTTTTGCGTCATGTGCCACACCTGCCCCCTCATTAGCCCGGTTGTCTGTATTTAAGTGCCTGCCTGTGTTCTTTTCCTTAGTGAGTCATTGTGTGATTATTTTGTGTTACTCTGCTGGTTCTCCTAGTTCTGTTCCTGCCCTGCTTTCCAGTTGTGTTACTCGTAGTTTGTTCTTGTTTTCCCTGTTTGTTTTTAACCCCTTGTGCCTCTTTATTTTGTGCTTTCCCCATTTTGTTCAGCTTCTTTAGTAAACCCTCCTTAGTAAAGGGTCATCACCTTTTTCCCACCTGTAGCAGTATTTCTATCAGTAGCCATGTTAGCATTTAGCCACAGTAGTTCTAGTAGTCATGTTAGCATGTAGCTACAGTACCCACAGTAGTTGTAGATGTACCCAGGGCTCATACTGTATGGCCATCCACACCCTGCCTGTGAGGAAAAAATGATGAAAGCCATCCACTTTGGAAATATATTATCCACTCCCATCATCTGTGTAGTATCAGCGCTAAACATTAGAACTGCCATCCATCCCATATATAATGGCATCGTCTCATATTTAAAAATAAAATACTGTCCCGTTTTGAGCCAATACAGGATGCAATCTGTCCCATATTTTTTTAATCCGGACTAAAACAATTAACATAGACTATGCGATTTCCCACCCCCCCCCCCCCCCCCCAACACACACACACACACACACACCCGTTGCTTAGAAAATTTTATTGGCAGGGACTTAGGGGGTGGCGTCGCTTATTCAGTCAGATTGAAAGTGCTAACCCTACATGGAATTTACCCTAACAGGATTTACCGTTGCCTCTCTTTCCCAAGGTCCGTGCCGTGTCACAGCAGATCCTGTACACCCAAAATGAAGACATATCATTAGACTCCTCGCTGTCCCACCTGCTGGTGGAATGGGGCCAGTGGATTGATCATGACCTGGTCCTGACCCCTCAGACGCCAAGCAAAGCAGCCTTCCACACGGGAGTCGACTGCACCCACACCTGCAGCCGCGACACCCCATGCTTCCCCATACAGGTCTCGTCTGCATCCCATTCTCATTTTTCCTACCTTTCTCTTCCTTTGATTCTATGACCTCTGTCACTCTCTCATTCCCCTGCGTCTAGTTGAAAACGCTGCTCTTCCAGTCATTTAACATTATCAATTCAGGGCTGGTCTGGCTATCTGGCATTCCAAGCCTTTTCCCGGTGGGCAGATGTGTATTAATAATGGCCAAAATGACACTTCATGAACCATCTGCTGTACTTTCTGACCCCACTAGATGGTGCTCTCTGTTCAAAAAAGGCTCAAAGCATGCCCCTAAAGCAGGGGTCTCAAACTCCAGTCCTGGAGGGCCGGAGCCCTACACAGTTTTTGGTTCACCCTCATTTAACACACCTGATTCAACTCCTTGTACTAATTACCACAAAGCTCTTGAGCTGAATCATTTGTGATGGAACAGGGAAAGAACTAAGCTACACAGGGCTCCGGCCCCCCAGGACTGCAGTTTGACACCCCTGCCCTAAACTAAGCTATCCATCCAGTGGTCAGAAAATAAAGCAAATGGTTCATGAAGCATCGTTGTGGCCGTCACTAATGCGTATGTGGGCCAGCAAAATTTATAGTGGGGGACAAAATTTATATTTGGAAGTCCAAGGCCAATTTTTAAACTCAGTCCAGCCCTGCCTGGGTTTTTATATCTCTTATAAAATTTGATACATACAAGGGTCAAGTTAATCACAAATTTAGTTCAAGTATTAAAACTCAAACTAGGTCATTTCAAGCGATAACTGGACCGGAATGTACCATTATCATTCATGTCCGGATACAAGCGTCTTTTTTATGGCTTTATTCTCCCGTCTTAGATCCCATCCTCAGACCCCCGTGCTTCTGCCCAAAGCTGCATGCCCTTTTTCCGCTCAGCCCCCAGCTGCCAGGTGCTGCCGCTGTGCCACCGCGAGCAGCTCAATGCCATCACCTCCTTCGTGGATGCCAGCATGGTGTACGGTAGCACGGGCCCCCTGGCCTCTGCACTCCGTAACCACTCCAGCCCCTTCGGCCTGCTGGCCCACAACCTCCTGCACTCTGACCAGGGACTTGCCTACATGCCATACCTGCCACGCCAGCCTTCCCGCCCAGACCCATGCGGCCCACGCCAAGGGCTCCACTCCACTGATCTGGAACCTTCTGCAGACCTGAGCAACTTTACGTCTTGCTTCCAGGCAGGTATGGGAATGTGGTCACCTGAGTGCGACATGGCAGGTGTATGCAGATCCAGGTCCAACACAGTGAACAAGGAGACATGTGTTAAGACCTTCTAAGCCTCTCCTTGTAGGTACAAATCCGGAAGGTTCTATGGATAACGATATAAAGGAAATTAATTTTCCTTAGATGAAATATGCTCCCAACTAAGATCTGATTGTTGCCAGTTGTTACCTCGACTACATTGCCTCCCTGTGGCCACTTAGGAGACTCACGGGCCAATGAGCACTTAGGAATGATTGCACTCCACACCCTGTTCCTGAGGGAGCACAACCGACTGGCCCAGGAGCTGCACCTCCTCAACCCCCATTGGAGTCCTGAGACACTGTACCAGGAGGCACGCAAGATCCTGGGTGCAGTCCATCAGGTCCCTCCCCTTTCCCTTTCTCTTCCTCTCTCTGTCCTCTCCATCCGTCCTGTCCTGTCCATATCTATGTGGCCAGTGAAGTAGTTCAATTGTTCACTTGTGGTCTTCTGAGTTGTCTTTGTTCCTCGTCAATTATTTGTTGGAGAAGTTGAGGGCACAACTCTTCTGGATCACAGATCAAATAATAAAGTATAGTATAGTATAGTCAGTGGTGGAATGTAACAAAGTATTTGTACTTCGTTACTGGACTTAAGTACATTTTTACGTATCTGTACTTTACTTAAGTAAAAATAATAATGCATACTTTTTATTTTACTCCATTACATTTTGCGGCAATTATCTGTACTTTCTACTGCACTACATTTCTACAATTTATATCGTTAGTCGTTACATTTTATGAGCACAACTTCCTCAAAATCTTGCATGAAGGAATATTTAGCTTATTGCGTTCTGGCGTTATTTGCCATTTCCTACCAATCAGGTGGCTTTATAATTAGCTCCAATGAGGGCAGAGCGCGCGTCAATTAGCAGCAGGAGCTGGTAGACTGGCTTGATTTCAAGTAGACGAGACATTCAACATGGACCAAGAGCCAACATCGGCTCTTAAGAGATTTGTTGAATAGTTTTGCAAGTACATAAATGATTTAAAGATATATCATGTCCTGACTGGTTTATCTTAATGGTATATTAGTGGGTAATACCTATAGTATAGATAACTTGTCATCCACATAATTCTAAGTTAGGGTACACACAGTATTGCAGAGTGCACGCACAATAAGCACACCAAACTTTCCAATACACATATTCTGTATAGTTGCTTGTAATTTTTACGAGCAATGACATCAGTAGAGGCCTAAGTCAATATATCTACTAGGGATGCTCCGATCGATCGGCCGAAGATCGGTATCGGCCGATAATCACATTTTATGACTCGATCGGTACTCGTTAAACTTGGCCGATCTTAGGAACCGATCACAATTGATGACGTCAATGCGTGAGGACGTACACGATGAGTGGGGACGTAAATGTTTTGGCGCCGCAGTCATGTCATCGCCGGTCGGGATCAGAATCGGCTTTGGTATCGGCCGATCACCATGACAAAAAAATCGGTACTTGGTATCGGTGGCAAAAATCCTGATCGGAGCATCCCTAATATCTACTATTCTTTTACAAAATGTCACACCCCAGACGTTGAGACAAACCATTGTGTGAGTACTTTTACTTAAAAAAATACATTAAAGTAAATTTTAAAAGTAAGTACTTATAGTACTTTCACTTAAGTAAGATTGTTGATGTAGCACTTCTACTTTTACTTGAGTACATATTTTGCAGAATATTTGTACTTTTACTTAAGTACTAAGTTTCAGTACTTCCTCCACTACTGAGTATAGTATAGTATAATGTGATGTAACATAATGGTATAATCACTCCTGTGTGTTCTCCAACACCTTCTGTCCAGGTGTTGACATGGGACCACTACCTGCCCCGTGTGCTTGGGCAGAAGGCCCATCTGGAGCTTCTCCCACCCTACCAGAGTTACCAGCCTGACACGGACCCCAGCGTCGCCAACGCCTTCGCCACAGCAGCCTTCCGCTTCGCCCATGTGACTGTGCACCCCGTGGTGAATAGGCTAGACCCCGGCTACCGCCCCAGCTCCCACCACCCCGATCTGCCCCTGCACCTCTCACTTTTTGCCTCCTGGAGGGTCGTGCAAGAAGGTAGTTTTTTTTTCCCCACTAATTCATCTACACAAGCAAATCTGCCCATCGATCCATGTGGATGTTCTAGCGATTCAGAGTATCGTAACTGGAAACAAAAAAACAAACTATTGTACTATAATAAAAGGTCAGATATGAAAACAGAGATGAGCTTAGAATGAAAGGGAATTAAAAATTAAAGACGAAAACAAAAATTATCTTGGACTGCACTGTATTTTATTCACTTTCCCTTCATCCAGTGCTCCAGACAAGGATATAGGCTGCTGCCAGTAGATTAATATATTCATATTTGCTGGAGTGAAAAGGAATAATTGTGAGATTTTAGGTTACAATTCTCCTTTTTTTGTGGATCTGCTTCCAGATTGGTCACTGCTTTGCTCATTTTCCTTCTGTAGATGGTCAGCAGGGTTTTCCCCTCAGAAAAGAAACAATGACATCACGAAAAAGCATAAACAGGAGCATGGTTCTAGTCAATGATTAACTTTAGCGAAAACAATTAACATAAATGCTAGACGTTGAACAATCAAGAATAAACAAGGAGGTATTTGGTGTCTGGGATTCATTAATAATGTTGAGTGAAAGTCTGGGAACTGTACCAGACCGGAGAAGGAGACAGTGAGTCACAGAAGAATCATTCCATTTGTGGTTTGGAAGTTCTCAACTGTGTAGACAGAAGAAAAACATCAAACAACCGTCAGCTAACTTCACCCTCTTAGTTCAGTGTTTCCCACCCTGGTCCTCAGAGACCCCCAGTCAGTCCATGTTTTTGCTTCCTCTCAGCTCCCTGACAGACAGTCTACAATTCTGCTCCCTTCTAGCTCCCGGTCGACAGAAATGTGGTCTTGCACGGAGTTGAGAGGAAGCAAAAATGTTGGGAAACCAGGCTGGGAAGCGCAGATTTTTTCGATTTAACTGCCATGTCCTGGTAATGAAGAACAGGTTGCCAATGATTTAACCCTTGAAAACAGATCAGCAGCTAATCTCCAGGTGAACTGCCGCAGAGGAGAGGAAGGCACAGAAAATGCACACTATTGCACCCTCTGCTGTTTATGTGTGAAAGTGCTCTGCAAAGAATGAGTTGTTCTTGAAGCTGTAACAAAACAGCATTGACTTCTGACTAGGCCAGATTTGACTGTCTTTAAAAGAACAAAGAACAGAACATTTTAGTCCATATTGTGAGTACTAAGTGTAACAAAGAGTCTCCGGGTTTGTACCACAAAGAATATCCCCAGTAACATCCTAACTCAGTCACCAATCCCACCCCCCTGCCCTTTTGCCCCCTTCTACAGGAGGTATAGACCCTGTGCTCAGAGGCTTGCTGCTCTACCCAGCCAAGCTGCAGACGCCGGGTCAGATGATGGTGGAGGAGCTGACAGAGCGGCTGTTCCAGGCCCAGGGGGGGCTACCACTGGACCTGGGGGCGCTCAACCTGCAGCGGGGGCGGGACCACGGCCTGCCCGGTAGCTCGACCCCTTCCAGCATCTCTGATTCACGCTGTGGATCTCTGTGCGGCTTTAATCTGTGAGGCGGTCACACGCGTTCACGCCGCGCCTCCTCTTCCTGCCAGGTTACAGCGCATGGAGGCGTCTGTGTGACCTGTCTGTCCCGGCTACCGTCACTGAGCTGGCGGGCATGCTGGGCAGTGCCAAGCTGGCACAGAAGCTCCTGCACCTGTACGGGACCCCACACAACATTGACCTGTGGGTGGGAGCCATCTCGGAGCCCCCCCTCCCTGGGGGCCGTGTGGGACCCCTCCTCAGCTGCCTTCTGGGAAAGCAGTTTCGCGCCCTTAGAGACGGAGACCGGTACGAATCCAGGGGGGCCAGTAGAGGTATTAGGCCCCCAACCCAGACCAATATTCCAAATTTTTTCGGGCTCCCGTCACTCTGGGGCCCTTGGAATCATCCTAACTCCCCCCTCCTTTATGGGGCCCCTGTCTGTGTCTGCATCTTCATCTGCACCCTAGGCAGTACAGGGTACAAGTGATTCGTTCACCCTGGCGGTAAACTGCATGTCTTTGAACTATTGGAAGGAACTGGGGAACCCAGTGGAGAGCCACAGGGAGAACCATAATCCAAAAGGACAATGGCATGAAACACAAGCTTCTCTACCCATCAACAGTATCACCAAAATGGCCACAACCACAGTTACCAGGGCAACCACTAGGGTCTGGACAGACCCAACAACCCCATGCAGTCTCTGTATTCTCTTTCTCTAAAATCACACACTTTTCAGATTCTGACCAAAATGACGTTTCACAGATTCTTCTCAGACTTTGCTACCAGCAAAATGAGTGAGCCTAACCAGTCATTCATCCAAATGAATTTGTAAAAGAAAAACAGTAAATAGTAAATACATTTACAATACATTATTATTACACATTGATATAACTAACACAAGCCACAGTTTCAAAATTAACTTTGCAATATAATTTAATTAATTCATTAATAGCTTTTTTCACCTGACCAGTAGGGGATGCAATTGCACCCCTGCATCCTCAGTAAAATTACCTTTGGTCAGTATTGTTGAGCTGATTTTTTTTTCCCCTGACAGGTTCTGGTGGGAGAGAGAGGAGGTTTTCACTGGTGCCCAGAGAGCAGAGCTCCAAAGGGTGTCACTGTCCCGTATCATCTGTGACAACACTGGGCTCGGCCATGTGCCCCTCGATCCCTTTGCCCACACTGCCCATGCTGGAGACATGGTGCCCTGCTCGCACCCCCGCATCCCCTCCCTGAATCTCTCAGCCTGGAGGGAGCCTGACACAGGTCTGGGTGACTGGAACACTAGGAGATGAAGCACAAACTGTACAGCAGAGCTATTCAAATCACGGTCCTCAGGGTCTGAGTGCTGCTGATTTTACAGCCTCCCTTTACCTGTCAGCCAGGTGTGAAGCCTCTGGCCAATAAGAATCAGTAGCTATTAAACTAATTACCCAGGCAAACTGAAAACAAGGGCTGGATTTGGAATTGAGGGCCAGATTTGAAGAACGCTCCTCTACAGTTTATTCTCTTCTGCTAATCCACTCTCTGCTAGCTGCTTCAATGTTTCTACTTCCCTTCATCCTCTCATTCTTCACATCCATCCACTCATCCCTCTCTTTTCTGCCAGACCCCAGGTGTGGTTCCATTCCCAGACTGCAGTTTGGCTTCTCTCTGCTCTGTGGCTCCGTCCAGATGTACCAGTGTCAGCCAGGCTATGCCCTTATTGGGCCATCCTCCATCACATGTGACCCCAGCGTGAACCAATGGAGTCAGCTTCCTCCTACTTGTCAAGGTAAAGCACTCAAAAAAAACACCTGTAAACTGGGATCGTACTCTAAAGGGGACAATAACCTTGAAATCAATCCTCAGAACTAGATATATTAGTAATTTGTCAAAAAACGCCGGCAAGTGAAAATGTTATTACTTTATTCAGCATGCTCAAAGTAAAATTAATTTCTGAATGAATATTTACTGGAGCAATATAGTCTAGCTATATGTATATAACCTCATACAGTACAATGTGGTATAACAAACAACCGTATTTACTCTTACGCTAAAGCTAAATTAAGTTGCACCATCATACAACTTTATGTATACCTACCAAGCAATGCCTCTGAGGAAGTATTAGAGGATGTAATTTGGTGGAAGTGAGCCATTAAAGGCAGTTTAATCTCCGTTTGTCAGGAACAAATTTAAATGATTTATAAGGTAACTTTTCCTGCAGACTAAACGGTTGCTGAGGGGAGTGATATAATCATGTTTGATGTTATGTCTGGGTATCAGTTTGGGGGCCGTGTTTGGCTCCCCAGGGTCACCGTTGGGTCCCTGAATGAGACGCTTAACAGGGACTGTCTGACCCTGTTGTTTTAAAATGTGTTGCTTTGTCTAAGCAAACAATCTGATATTCATCAACCCTGTGATTCAGATGTAGATGAATGTGCCCAGGAAGCGCCACCCTGCCCAGTCAAAGCGCAGTGTGTCAACACACCAGGCTCTTACACTTGCACAGGTAAGGACACAGCAGTCCTGCCACGGCACAGGAGACACAGCATCCGCTATAAAGCATCTCTGTGTAGCCGCCAACACAACCAAATCGTACTTCTTACACTCTGCCCAAGCATACCATCCCTACTTCCTGTCTGTGTCTCTCAGAGATAGCGAGCCCTGAGGCGCCATCTGTCCAGACCCTAGTGGTTGCCCTGGTAACTGTGGTTGTGGCCATTTTGGTGACACTGTTGATGGTCACATGCTACAGAAGGTAGGCTATGACTGATTCAGCTTGTCCTGCCAGAGATGGGAAATATTTTGTTTTCATATCATTTGTGGTCAAATTTCTAAGATACAATGTTTTTAAGACGAGTCAGCATAAAACTTAGGGTTACATAAAAGACCGTACTTGAAATTACAATATGGGTTATGCATTCTCTAGGTCTTTCATGAAGAACTTTGAGCCTGTTTTCGGTGGATGTTGTCAGAGCAGCAGCCTGTGGCCCACGGGGAACAAGGGAGATCACACCCCCACGGAGGGCATGTGACACCAGCGGCTATCACTGACCAAGCGTTAGTGTTTCACCAGAGCTCTACAATCAGTCAACAGGCTGTAACGTGTGATTGTGCTTAACCTTAAACCTCAAATCAATCATGAGATTTTACCTGTAAGCCTTTATTAACCAACTCTTCCATGTAAAAGACTATCATCCAGAACAGTGGATTTCAAATTGTAGCCCAGGAGCCCCCACGGGATCTGTAGAGCAACTGCTGGATATCCAGAGATGTTTTAAATTGACAAAATTCCAGTAATATCATCCCCCCCAAAAAAACACTAAAATATTTGATGCCGCAGTCTGTTCAGAGCAATCCTTGTTTCTGAGTGACTTATGTGAGCATACGTTAGTTGTAGGTGAATCCTTAGTTTAAGATACTTTGAACATCCCTAACCTAGCACCAGTCAAAAGTATGAGCACACCTAGATGATCGTATTTCAACAAGATAATGACCTTAAGCGCACCTCAAGGTTAACAAGGAAAGAGATGGAGTGCTGTGACAGATGACCTGGACATATCCCAAGAGTCAGAAAAGGTATCATCAAAGCAAAGGGGCTACTTTGAAGAATCTAACATGAGATTCTGTTCTGTTGATTATTGCAATATTTCATATGTATTACTTCATTGCCTATAGACCTTTTACTATGAAGTGAATAACAGCTAAAACGTACGTCCAAACGTAACTGGTTCTTTATATGAATGTGTATTTATTTATCCATTTGAGTAATGCTACACTTGATTAGAAAGTTAACATTGTATAGCTTTTATTTTTTGTTGTCATATTTTATACTTTGGTTGCATTTATCATACATTAAGTCATTTTTCCCCATTGTCGTCATTTTGACTTTTCCATTGTCAAATGAAGGACATTTTAATGGGTATATATTAAGCAAGACTTTAAACATTGCAGCACTGTAGTGACATTTCCGACAGTAATTATTAAACCGAGACATTCTAAATATTAAAGCAAGTAAAGGTAAGCAATTCAAACTAAGGGTGAGTACAAAAAAACTGAACACTATTCCGTTGGCTTGTAAAAAATTGCATGTATGGCCGTCAAAGTTAATGTGTTAGCATTCATTTTAAACTTCTTATACTTTGTATTAACCCAATAGGAGAATAGTACGAGCGAAGATTTTTAATAGATCTGTAGTACTGACAAGCTAGATCTAAGAATTGCTGAAATGGACATTTTGGCTTAAAAAAAAAAAAAAACAGGATGTATAAGTTTTTGGATAGCTGGATGACTGATAGGGATTGGCTGTTTACCGACCATGTGGTGTTCTGAATGAGTAAATTGTTTATGGAAATTAAATATGAAAATAATAAATTATCATGTGTAAAAAGTTATTGTAAGGCGAGATGGCTTTGGGTTGCTCTTTATGCTTGAAAATTTATATGGGGTAGTATTTTGTTTTTTTTACTGATCCAGCCCAGTTGGCTAGTAGCAAAAATTCTTCAGTTTCACCCCTGGTGCATGCATGCGTGCCTGCCATCCATCCATCCATCCATCCCTCTCTGTGTAACTAAATTATGTTGCGCATTTCCACATTCAACCCCGCATTGAATTAAACAGACTGGAACCATGGAGTCAGTAGATATGGACTGGCAGAGACCTTCTGCTAGTAAACAGTTTCAGACAGAATGAACAAAATAAAAAAAAAAGAGAAAAAAAACATCATACACAAGTAGCTTGTTTTACTGTTTATAACTACAGGATCGGCTTTGAGGGGGAGCAGGAAACTAAAACAAAAGATAACTTGTCCAGCATAAGGAAATATGTTTCTCTAATATGAATACGTAACTTGTACATACATATTGTCCAATGTAAAGACTGCTAGACCACTATACTAATCATGCAATGCTGGATAATGGCCATTTCATATGCAGCATGGTGTTTGATGACCCACGGAATGGCTCTGTCTCTAAGTGCAAAACCCAAATGGCCGTTATAGAAAGCTGTACCTGGCCTGGGATACGCAGTTTAAACAAACGTTCACCTGCATCCTGTCCAGCGCCCCAGTGGTACTGAAGAGCTCCCCTAATGATCGGAGATCCCCACGGAGACCGGGCACGCAGACCGGGCACATCCTGCATAGCCATATGATACACGGGCTAGTTGTCATTTATGGGGCACAAACGAAGGCACAGATGGTGGCATTTCAGCCCATGGCAGGCTGATACAGACAGGGGGCATCATGCAAACCCCGTCGCCCCCACGGCTTTTACTCTAACACCTCCCACAACCCGTCCCCTTGGCTGATCTCTGTTCTGTGATCAGCAGGTGAGCACCTGGCACAGCCTGCTGAGCTCTGAACTGGGATCAGTGGAGCCTTATCGGCGGGACTCCCTCAACTGTGCTGCTCATCCGCCCGGAACAGGCATCTTCTAACTCTCGTCAGCGGTGAAGTAGCCCAGCCTGGCCGCGGCCATCTCCCGCCGCAGACGCATCACCTCCCAGAAGGTCTGCTCAGCTATGAAAAGGACACAGCAGGACATGCAGCCATCAGCATATCCACTGCGTTGATTCGATTGGTCAGTGCTAGTCCTATATAAGGAAGGATGTCTCATTTGGCCTAGCGCTCCGCATATCTGATTGGTCGGTGTTAGTCTCTCCCCATGATGCATCATTTAGCCTAGCGCTCAGCATATCTGATTGGTCAGTGTTAGTCTCTCCCCATGATGCATCATGTAGCCTAGCGCTCAGGTTATCACACTTACCACCCTGTCTGACCAGGCCCTGCTGAATGTAGCGGATGTAGGTGAAGAAATTGCACACAGCCGTGATCTAAAAGGCAGAAGGAATGAACAGAATTACAGTTACAGGACAGTAACTGGAAATGAGGACAGTACAGTGGGACGAATGGGACACATGGACGGGTCTTACCCGCGCGCGGCTGGAGGGCGAAATGTAGTAGTACATTCCTTTGTCCCCTAGTTTGATTCGATGCTGGCAGACTCGAGAAATACCAGTAAGGGCACATTTCCTGAAAGGCCAGAAGAGAAGCTGCAGTAAGTATCTCTGGGTTTCCACTCTAAATGTTTCAGAAGACGACAGACAGGGCAGCATATGGGCATGCGAGGCCACAGCATGCAATAACCTGGACAGTAACACATCTGTCAAATCGCCCCAAGGGGGAAAAATAAAGAACATCAGTGCCGACCATCCCCACTCGCACAGCACCAGACTAGACCCGGCCACATTGTTAGGAGTGAGCACACAGGCACAAGGGCGAGGCGGTCGCCATGGGAACACGCTCACACACACCTCCCACAAACACTAGCCAGCAGCATGTTGTTTACACTACTTGCTCACTTTGGAGCATCCGGAAAGCTTCTGGTTTATGCGTTAATTGTTATCTAGTTGCAGTACTTGGTATTTCATGGTCAATTTTAACAGCAATTTCAGCGTTTCAGGTCTTCGCTGGGAACCAACATTGACAAACACGGGATGGAAACAAAGTGACACAGCATTATACTTTACTTAAGCAGGACAGAGCGGTCCAAGAGCGGTTTAAACATCTCATTCAGTAAACGGGTGGTTCCCATAATCACTTACGTCTCCACTGCCGCACGCCAGCCACTGAAAGTTAAAATCAGATCAGATCAGATCAAATCAAGAAGGCGGAAAGAGAAGGATGAAGCAGAAACGTCGATTGAAATATTTTGGATTCATTATCACCGATTTTCCATAAATAGATAACAGGGAAAAGCCTGGTTATTTAAGGCACCTGGGTGCTGTGACTGACTCACTTGGGTCCGCTGCGCTCCGAAGCCGACGCCTTCACCACAGGAAGGGCAGCTGCGGCCACCGGCTCTATGGTCAGAGAATTGTTCTCCACGGCCGCCTGGACCGCCTGAGAGAGCTACGGGAGAAGAGGCCTCCTCAGCTACACACAACCAGATTTCCGCTTTGTTGGAGGGTGACTCGTCCCTCTTGCCTATAGGCTGTGGGCGGCACGGGGTTTCATTCCAATAACTTCAATGGATACTAAAGCAAAAATGCAGTGTCAGAAACACACCCCAATTTTAAACCAAAACAATTTACTCTCCTCTGTATGAGGTGGACACATGCCTGCAGCTAAAACTGTCACATTTTTGGTAATTGCTACATCAAAATGTGGAATTGAAGGTCTATTTGCTAGATTAACTTCCAGCATTTGGCTACAATTAGATTAATTACGGCAATTTAATAAAGTACTGTTTAACCAAGTTGAGGGAGGCATAAAAAGAATTTCCCCACGGGGATTAATAAAAGTGTAAATTATTATTATTATTATTATTATTAATAATCCAACTTCATAATCCAACTTCGTTTTACCTCCATCTTCTTGTGCCACCTAGACACCTTCAAGCAGGCTAACCTCCACACCTTCATGCTTTTCATGAAGACACTTAATCCCTGCAGACTCCTTCAGTCACACACACACACACACACACACACACACACACACACACACAGCAGAGAGCACAGACCTCAGAGCAGGTAAATGACAAGCAGGGCCTGATGTCCTCTTTATAAACGCGGCTCAAGAAGGCAGAGGTGCAGTTCAGACTCGGCGCCTCCCGCCAAGTCAGAAACTCTGCATACAGAGAGGAGTCTATCTGGGGATGGAGGTGGGGGGGGGGCAGCGTTACCATGACAACCTTTAATGTATATGCCAGCTGTTATAAATTTCACAATCTACGTGACAAACTTTCCAAACCAGAGTTCCAAACCTTGAATAAATGGTCATTTTACTTTCAAATGACAAAGTGAGAGCACTACAAAAAGATTTCACATGAAATCGGAAACTGGGGCCTTCAGGCTGGGTACAGGGATGAGCTGAAGTTAATGTGTCAGTGTATATGACCGAATGTTGCCGTTTTGTTATTGAAGAGGATACTTTGAAACCTGATGTCTTTATTTTACTTTAATGGTTTGAAGTGAAATGAAATTCACAGCTAATAAACAATAAATACATTTCAAATATTTACCACTCTAGTAATTTTGAATTTGAAAAGTGTAATTTTTAATGCATACTTAAGTAATACAAGTTCAGATTTTTGGCATCTCTTCCTTATAATGGTCTTATATTAACATACATACACAAGAACAATAATGCACAACAAAAAACACAGATGCCAATATAACAAAATAAATGGCAAACTATATAAGAAAAAAAGCTTTAGCAAGCAGCTAAGATGGTCCCTCCAGTGCTGATCGCTCCAAATTTGCCACAGCACGCCTTCTGGCTGAAATTTGCCACTGCTGTTCCCTGGTGTGCCCCCCCCCCCCCCCCCCCCCGAGAGGCTGTTTAGGTCATACTGACATACTGTCAAAGTACTTCCACTGGCAAAGTCAGAAGAACAAAAGGGGGTGTACATCGAGAAAGGGAAAGAGAGGAGAGTGACGTAGGCAGAGCAATATGAGAAGGATAAAGGAGAGAGCCAGAAAAACCACTGAGAGGTATGAGAGATTTAGATACCACTGAGAGAAGCTCTTGTCTTTACAGGAGTTTAAAAGCATGAGTAAAAAGGATGGGATGTGAATCTCATAAAGCACAAAAAAGGATATCACCCGAAAAAAATGCTTATGATGATAAAAGCCTCTGAAACTGTAATTACACCAGAAATTACTCAAATCAATGGGCAGAGACACGGCTAATCCTTTGGAAAAGCAGCCAAGCCGTAAAAGGTGGAAAAACAAGGGTGGAAAATCAACTATGGAGAAATAAGTATGTTATGAAGCTCTATAATGATTCGTGGTCAGGGTCCTGTTGCCGTCTAACAGTCATTACTGCACAACATTACAACCAACCAACCAATAATGCTTTGTGTTAGTTCAGTTTAATTGTGGTAGCTGGTGTGATTTTTTTGGTTCCAGCTATATTTGACCGTAGGTTTAGTCGTGTACATGCTCCGTCCTGACAGAAGGGAAGCCCAAACAGCAAAAATATACATAGATGAACTTTAATGCATGTGCAAGTATATATACTTTTATGTACAGTACTGTGCAAAAGTCTTAGGCAGGCAAAGAAAATGTGTAAATCTATTTATCAGGGTAGTAAGTGTTTTTTTTAAATGACAAACATAATTCAACATTAGAATATATGCAAATGAAAAGTGACAAAAACTGAAAATAATTTCTTCTGTTCCCCAAAAAGTTACTGAAATTTTGCTGGATGGTTAGATGAACACCGCTTCAGTTCCCAAACCTCTCCTTGGGGGCACCTCAGTCATTGTTTGTATTTCTTAAACTTCACCACCGGCTCAATAAACCAACTAACCTACTAATTAACTCAATGAGGTACCAATTAGCCAAACTTGATTTGCTAGTGAAAGTGTCAAAATATATACGGGCATATTGGATGGTGGCTGCAAATACTGGGCTGATTTTAGGAGATGTTTTGAAATAGCTAAACTAACACACTTTGACAGGCATAATACCAGTTTTACACCTACATGAAGATCATTTAAACATCATTTTTTTGACTGCCTTAGACTTTTGCACAGTACGGTGTGTGTGTGTGTATGGCTCTTACCTCACGACCCTCCTGGAACACAGGGTTTGTAGGTGTGGTGGTCCGGTCCGGGGACGGAACATCCAAAGCCAGTGACCCACTGGCACTCTTGTTGCGAAAGTGCCCCCCCCCTCTGCGGGGAGTTCCCCTTTTGCTCCCCAACCCTGGGGACATTAGCTGGGGGTGCATCTGGCGGTTGGGTGAGGAGGGGGTTGAGGTAAGTACCAGAGTCTTCAAAGCAGTCACCTCCGCCTGGAGAACATCAATCTGAGAGAGGGAAACAAGTCACGGTTCAAAGCAGAAACAGAAGGTGATCGTAATAATTTGGGGCTGCAATGGATGAAAATCTGTTAGAATTACGGTCCTAATATAAATGTGATTTATCTTTAGTTGAAATGCAAATGAACTTCTAAAATGTTAGCTATGGCCCAATTACGTAAGACTGCTAATTATCTGCTAACGCCTGATCCACAGTGGCTGGCAGCTGGGCAGACCGTGGGTGGGGGTGTGGGGGCACTCACCTTGCCCTGTGCTTCCTTCAGCTGCTTCTCCGCAGCTGCCTGCTTAACGTTGGCTTCACGCACCATCTTGTGGGCTTCCTGGGGGGGAGGGGGGGGGGAGTAACAAGATAAAACAGATCACCGGCCGCGTACGTGAAATCCCCGAGTACGCCATGCGGCCCCCTGGTCTCCGGCACCTACGTATAGGCCACAGACAAAGGAAAAGAACCATAAAATATATTTTTCAAAAAATATCTAAGACAAATTAGTGGGTATGAACAAAGTTAGTAGAAGACACAATGAATGGTGCTCCTTGGGAGTTAAAGTGTAACAGGTAAAATAGCTAATAAACAGTGGAACATAGTTACACAGTGATGAGCTAAGCTAAGAAGAACGATGTACTTTAGCATAAGCTGTAACACAGTACTGTGATAATGAGGTGACGACTATGGAGTAAAGGACTTGGGTACAATGAATGACAGGGTGCTACAGTGTCCCACCTCAAACAGGCTGGCTGTCAGCTCTTCCAGCTCCTGCTCCAGCTGGTCTCGAACCCGAGACAGGCGCTCGCATTCCTTGTCCTTCAGCTGCAACTCCTGGGTAAGCAGAAATCGCAGAAAGATCAGCGGATCAGTCTCCGGGCTGCAGTGACACTGACCGTCCGTCGGCCCAGCCCAACTGACAAGCAGTAGCCAGCTGGCAGACAGAAAAGACCCAAAGCATCACCATCTTTAAACGGCACACAAGCCCACAATTAGTATCTGAGGATAAACAGTGCACAGTGAGACATTAGTGCATATTCAGGATGCACGCCGTACCCTTTGGGCAGTGTCCAGCTGCTCCTTCAGGAACTCCGAGCCCTTCTCCTTAATCTCCAAGGAGGAGCTCCTCAAGCGGGACAGGTTGTACTGCTCCCGCTTCCCGCCATCGGCCCCCCGCTCGGCCAGCGGCATCGACACAGCCTGCCCAGTGCCTGTGCGGCTTGGGCCTGTCCCCGGCTCCGACTCTGGCTCCAGATCTATCAACCTTTTGTTGTTAATAGGAGGGACAAGCATTTTAGAAAAAAAAAAACAGGAATAGATAATTATCCAATGCACACACCTTCACAATTTCAAGTATACCATCTATGTGTTGCCAAGGTAACCGAAAACTTTCAATTCTGTCCATCATAACAAGTACTGAAAAACACATGGGCGTAAATCCCCCCATAATCAAAACCAGCCAATACAGCCCCCTGGACCCCTTTAAATGGGTGGAGACCTCAACTCCCCCAGTGCTCAACCCAAAGTTATGCGCCTGGAAACACGTACAGTAAGCGTCATGCAGTTTGACAAACTTCTCCCCTTTGCTGCCCTGTCCGTTACCATTATCAATTGGTCAAACATTAAAAATGTAATTGAATCAAATACTAGGTATCTGACACCCAGAGGACACCCCCACCCTGTGCTGCGCACGGCACCGGCACAGCGGCAAACCCCCGACATCTGCATTCTTTCTGGCGTCAAAAACCGCTTATTCCCCGGGACGTTACCGTAAAGCAGACAGCGACAAAACCAGCCTTTAAGGAGAAAACGAGCCGAATTCAGACGCTTTTCAATAGTGCGTCATATTTTTAAACTATCAGTTTACACCAAATGGTAACGATCAAATAACTTTTTTGCAAGAAACAGGCTGAAAATCCGGTTCCTCGTCTTTATTTGGAAGCTTTCTCCACCCTTACCCTCCTCGCCGTCCGATAAAACAGTTCAAGCCGCGGCCACCGCGGCTACATCCGTCCGGAGACTGTTCTCTATCTACGTTTTATATAATTTTTTAATCCATCACCACCATCACTGAAAATGCACCGTGGGGTGCGTTTAAAAGCAACAAAAAAGAAAAAAGCACAGTCCAAAGCAAACGTATATATTCCAACACACTTCTACAATGTGTATAGCTATCTGGCTAATAATCAAGTCGCGAACCACGACTGCTTAATGGTAACCGACAAATTTCTCTCTCATGTAAATGAACAAACTGGGTCTAATACGAGGTTTTCAAGACGCAGTTTCCTTCTGCATTAAGACTCCGGCAGAAATAAACGTCTCGAAAGCTGCCGTTGGTCACATGATAAAACATCCTAAAAATTCTTTCATTCCATTCAGGAAACACGTGACCAAACTCCACTCCCTTGCAACAGAAATTCTAATTCCTCCTCTTAAAAGCACGACAACTATTTAAGACCTAAGGCACTTCAAGAAATGCCGTCATAGGGTAATGAAATAAGACGCACCGTTAACACGGACGGTGCCTTGTGATAGCGGATGCGATCAAACATTTTGTCCATGGGAATCTGGGCACAAATCACTGCGTTAATGTACTTTGTACGCTAACTCGTCCATCTCCGCTGTGATACCTTCATAACATTTATCCAAATCCTGGTGAGACATAATGGTGGATATGTACCGTAATTAAGTTTAATATAGTCTGCTTTTAAATACTCTACTTGTAATTCTGAAATATGATGGGGATCATTTTAGGTAGCTTTAAACGCTTGCAAAACACTACCAAAATAACCATGTTAAGCATTCCAAGTCCCTGAATAATCACGTACGACATTTTTATTTGGTAGATCATATGTTGTCACTGATAATGAAAACCCAGCCAGGACTCCCCCCTGCCTCCTGCCATATGCTGGGATATTCTCCATTCACAACTCGTTCTATATAATTGTGCTATATAATTAGTTGGAAAACATATGGAGAGATGTTATCCTCAATCATGAATGTTAGGAAACCTTTCAGGGGCATCAAAGGGTCATGGGTAGTGTAGCATGAGGGCCCCGCTTGGGGAAAATCAATCATGGGAGATCACTCCACCCCCCACCCTGATTATATCTACAGATTGAAGGTGTGAACCGTAACAAGGGGTTCAAGGTGACATCTTATCAGTATTTTTTCCATTTCTCTCTAAATACATAAATACCCTCATGATCCAATCCTGGATAATGGGCTGGATGATGACTGATGAGACGCATGGATATAGAGGGTGGATTTCCGCAGCTCCTGCTCAGACTGGCTTAGGTTACATGAACATGGAATGGCACCATCTAACAGATACTACCTTAGGAGGTTTACAGATACGATAGTATTGTTTCAATAGATGGACAGTATGCAATTTGCCAAAAGACATTTAATATAAGCTATTAGTCTCTCTATTGTATAAGTCTGCATAAGGAGCCATTTAATATTGGAACATTTGCAAAAAAGAATTCATTAATACTACGGTTAATGTTTAATTCGGTAGCCAGATGAAGTTAGAATCCTATTGTAAAATGTAACAATCAATTGACAGAAATAATTATATCAGATGTTATGCACAGTTATTAGATTTTAAAGATCACCACCACAAAGGCCCCTCTTTACCTTCCCACTGCACATCCCTCTTCCTGAGTACTTGGGCGGGATTCCTCTGCTTGAGGTCCTGAGGTGTTCAGCTGGCCAAAGAAGGTTGGCGACGAGTACACAGCTATGCCCGAGTTTCCCGTCACCAGGACCTTGTACCCTGGGCCAGATGAAACGGCTGGCTTGAGGGAGGGAGATAGCTGGACAGAGTGGATCCCCTCAAAGGCATCCATTACTGTCACAAGGGTGCCAGAGCTGTGACACCCTCTGGCAGAGGCCCTGTGCTTCCGTGCTGCCCCCCCACGGCTGTAGGAGGCCTGCACACCTGTTATTTTCTTCACCCTCCAATCAAGGTAGGCCTACTTGTTTCTTTGCCAATATCCTATAGAAATATTTAAAATCAAATATGTTGATAACTAATGACATTGCAATTTAATTTTTGTAAGTAAATCTTGCAAAGAACAAATGAATATTGGTTTTTAACAGGTACTTTATTTTTTGTGTAATCCTATGCAAAACTCCGCTTTCATTCACGCATGAAGAAACTTAGTAAACTTTGACCTGACAGTCATATTAAGGCAGAACTAAAAAAGGCAGACAAGCAGATTTTAGTCGGTTTCAAAACTGTAAAATTCCTTCCAAGAAAACTGTAATTCTTTTGTTACCAGTTTGAAATAATTTCCTTGGTAAACCAAAATGGAAGATTATCGAAAGTAGTAAACTCGTAGACTGTCATTTCTGTGTATTTTCTTATCAGTTTAAATGAGCAGACCAGGCGTCTCAGTGCGATGTGTTGAAATCAATTTTAATGTTGAAATTCATATTAAATGTTTTCATATTGTATACATTTGTTTACAGTAAGCCTATACACGAGAAAATGAACTTGAAACAGCCCTTGACGTAGCAAGAATAAGGTGTGGAAAAACCCAGCTGTTAAACTGAGAGTTAAGAGAAAGTGTGTTAGAAAGTACTTACCGGCTAAGACACTTTAGAAAACTGGCGTCTCAAAACTACGGAAATTAACGCATCAGCCTTTTGTTCCAGATCCCAAAGAATGCCTTAGCGAAAATGTTTATTACACTTTAAGATGTGGGGAAAGCGCTGTTGTTGTATAAATAGTACAAGCAGACGCGGTTTTTGGAACCTGTCTTAGTCCCTGGTCACAAAAGTTATAGTTAATTATCACATACACCTTGCAAAGTACCACCCACCGTGACGCATTTTCTACACCCGATAGGCAGGAGTAAGTCAACGTTTCACTAAGTGCTTAAGTAAGCTACTGGAAATGATTACTTCAGATTCCTTTAAGGATTAACAATGGAAACCGAATGATTTGGTTTTTGAATTATAAGAAAAACAGAAAAGTTTATAATACTACTACTATACTAATAATAATAATAATAATAAACATAGGACATTTGCACCTTGTGCTTTGCATGTGGGCTATGACATTCATCATTTATGTCCCACCAACGCCTCTTACAACAGGCTTTTCTTGTCATAGGAAAATTGACATTATCGTACACGACGAACGGTGTTGTCTTGTAACTGAAGGGAAGTGACTTAGGCTCGCAAAATACAGCATGTGTTGCGTGTGGTATACGTTTGCCTTGTGATTTGCTCAGATTAACACTTCACAATGGTGTTTTGTTGCTTAAAGCGATTAACACATCAAGTGACTGGAAGGGTGGGAGTCTCTTTGTACTCCATCTCTGTCCCACACTCTGCCTCTCACCTGTACCTACTGAACACTGTGGTGACACTCTCCAGGGCACAGTGAGTATAAAAGTTTATACGCTGCAAAATGCTTGGTATTTAAAAATGCTTGGCGTTCATCATTCTACATCTCCATTTCTTTTGTCTACTTCTCAATTTCTCTTTCTATACCATTGCATTTTACCCTTAATTTTGTCTCAGTATATCTACAAAGATGAAATGCGTGAACACCCGACAGTCAATGGTGTGTTTGTCATCAAGGATCTAACGATATATTACAGCGACATGTTTTCTTTCCCCGTCAGGTGGGATTGAAGTGGTGGCGCAACCAATTATTGTGTCCACTAGGGGGCAGCAATGACGGTGACCTACTCACGCAGGGTGGCAGACGCTGGCTTGGGAACCTTCTCCCGCCTGCTACTACGATGGAGGGGCAGCATCTACAAGCTTCTATACAGGGAGCTGATCATCTTTACCGCTCTGTACTCCTTTCTTAGCATCATTTACAGGTGAGGAGCATGCCCTCACCCACCCCCAATCAGGAACAATCTAGGTGCCAAAGAGAGCAGTGGGAAATGATAGGGGTTTGTGTGGATGCTACAATACAGTGTGTTCAAACTCACAGAACATTCCATAGATTTTTCCTACTTTTTGGGAGATTATATTTCCTCAGTCAATACTATACTGGCATTTTTTTCTGGAAGCCTGAGGATCTGTAGCATCTGTCTGTTGGTCGTAGTTATTCGATGAAGTCAGCTATTTAACCTAATATGGCATCAAATGCCAATATTTTAACATCAGAATTATATTACTTTGTTGTTTAGAAGTTGCCCGACAGTTTACCTAATATTATTTTTTCAGTATAACCTTGGGTGACCAGATAATCCATGTCAGGGAGGACACTCTGAGCTAGGACAGGAATTGTAAATTACCATTTCAATGAAACGGACCTGAATTTCACTTGAGCGCTGAGTTCTTGCTGTGTGCTGATTGGTCAGTCTCCTATAATCATGCATGTGTCACTAATGCTAATGTGAAACAGCTGGATGAGTCTTTCACTCAAGGAAACAAACCAGTCAAAGCACAGGAAGAGCTGAACTAATTAGCCGAGCACAGGAGCCTTTCAGTTTGAAAGTAGTTTGTAAAACCCGAAGTAGCCCATAGTGTCCTCCCTGACATGGATTATCTGGTCACCCTAGTATAACCAGTTATCCATTCATCCATCTTGAACCATTTATCTGGAAAGCCTGTCTTGTGAGGAAGGGTGTAAGGTGAAGCTTTGCACAGCTATAGGGCGTCATTCCCTCACAGCACACTGACACCGGCTCATGTAGCCAGACGCCAAACGTAGCATGAAGCTTAAAAACATCATACAGCTGAATGTGATACTGAGAAATGTACTGCTGCCCCAGTAGAGGCCGTCGCCGTTATCACCTAAAACTTCTTGATTCCAAAATATCTGTGGCCTGTATTGCTCTTCTATCCGCACTGTCGACTGAGGACAGAAAACGGCACAGAAAGGGACCCTTGAGTGATTGAATGGTGGTTTTGCAAGGTCAGGCCCCACACTTGGGTCCGGCTGAACATTGCTCCAGTTAGGCTTTGCACTGTCTCACCTGGGACCCTGGAGCAAATGATGGATGACAGCTAACTGGGCCGGTCATTCCAGGTTCTTACTGAGGGATGAGGAGAAGCGAATGTTTGAGAAGCTTACCCTCTACTGCAACCACTATGCAGAACTCATCCCTGTGTCCTTTGTACTGGGTGAGCACTCTTCTGCTATTTGTAATTTATGCTTGAATTATATATAAACTCAGTGGCACTTATAGTAAATCAAAAACAAATAATGTTCATCACTGGCAACTCCAGGCTTTTCTCGCAGGGGGTGCAAGGTGAGGGAATCCAACCAGTCATTCATCCAGATAAATAAAATTGTTTTTCTTAAAAGAAGCAAATTCATATTCAATAAACTGTTATTACACATTGGTATGAGTAACACAAGCTACATTTTCAAATATAACGTTTCAATATGTGTATAATTCAATTACTAAACTTAATATGCATTCTGATGTAACCAGTAGATGGAGCAGTTGCACCCTCATTAAAATCACCTATAACGCTCATGTAACGAGAAGAATATCTCCCTACTTCCCATTTGACACTTCAGTTTTGAGTTTTGTTCAGTTTGCCACTGATCCTTATCTAAAACTCTTTGTTAAGCTGCCTGATTATTATACCAGTTTTTTTCTCTACTTTAAGCAGAAAACATGAGGTATAACAACCACTGCAGTTAACTTAATGGCCTCTTCCCACTGCGTCACTGCAGGGGTTCTGATTAATGGGTATGTTGTATCCCACTGAAGAAGGAAATGTTTGCCGTTGTCTGCTGTTTGCTTGGGTGCCTTTTGCGGGCAGGGTTCTACGTCACCCTGGTGGTCACGCGCTGGTGGGGACAGTTCGAGAGCGTTCCCTGGCCCGACCGCTTGGGGGCGCTGGTGGGAGGGCATGTGCGGGGGGCGGATGATGCAGCCCGGCTCGTCCGGCGCACCCTCATGCGTTACGCCAACCTGTCTGGCGTGCTCATCTACCGTTCCGTCAGCACTGCTGTCTACAAGAGGTTCCCTACCATGGAGCACCTGGTGCAGGCAGGTACGACATACTGTAGGATTCAGCTGCACTGCTCACCAGGGTCTATAGCAGCTTTTCCCAACCCGGTTCTGAGGGATCCCCAGCTAGTCCACGTTTTCACTCCCTCCCAGTCAATCCACGTTTTCGCTCCCTCCCAGTCAATCCACATTTTTGGAAAAACACAAACAGTCTGAGGTTCCCTGAGGACTGGGTTCTGAAACACTGGAACGCAGCACAAGCATCAAAGAGTAACACCCATCCTGTCTAGTCCTTTACGATACCGGCACGTCGGAGACTGCTTCACTGGACTTTGCTAATGGGTCCGTCTAACTGTAGCTGTAAGGTCCGTCCCAATAAGCAGCGGCTTTCTGGGTAAAAGACGACAACATGTGACCTCAGCAACTCTAAGGGGAGCATATAGCATATAACTTCATAGTTGCCTCAAACTTTATTGTACCAAACAAAGGTCCTTCGTTTTGTTAGTGTTTCAAAGGTTACACTCGTCGTACAGGGCAGTACCATAGATAAGTGTTGTTAACCTGACAGCAGTGGCACTGCAATCTTTATCCTAAAAGTCTTTCCTGAAGTGCAAAGTATTTCAAGGTTGCCTGGACCACAAACGATGACCAATGTAGCATAATGATTATTATCACGCAGACCCAGTGATTATTGCAGTGGTGATTTGGGTGTGTGGCTGTCAGTTTAATGGTGTCTCAGCATAAATAAACTGGTTCTGTCGAGAGGATGATTGCCTGCTCCAGGTCTTTTCATGTCTTCCCACAAAGGCCTGATGACAGCTGAGGAACTAAGGCAGCTGGAGGCCGTGCCCTCGCCCCACAGCAAATTCTGGGTGCCTTGCATGTGGTTTGTCAGCCTGGCCCTCAGGTCCCGCAGTGAAGGCCGCATCAACAACGACGTGGCGTTAAGCGCTATCCTCAATGTGGGTTCCCGTGTGTGCTTCCGTACGACAGAGAAAGACTGTATGCGGACGTGTGTAACTGCATGGCTACTGTGTAATGCGTATGTTTTATGTGACTCAGGAGCTGAACACCCTCCGTACACAGTGCATGAAGCTGTACAGTTATGATTGGATCAGTCTGCCCCTGGTTTACACGCAGGTACGGCCACCCTCTTTACTGAAGATATGCATTCTGTAAACATCTCGACCAAGGATAATAACTCCCAGAAATGGTAACACACCCTGTCAAGCCCAGACTTGACCCCCACTGTTCTGTAACCCTTATTATGACTTTAACATAGAACACCCTGTAGACAGTGTTGCGTCTCCTCCCTCTCATTGCAATGAGGAATAGAAGCCTAAGTCTCACCTCTGTCTTTCTCAGACAGCTAAACAGTGTTTTTAGAGCAGTTGTCATTCGGCTTATGAAGCATTTGCTACAGTATAATAACAGATTGTCAGGGACAGCTCTTCCCCTCTCTTAGCGTTAATGATGCGTCTCTGCTAGCTGGATAACTGCGTCTAGACCTGTCACATTGCCAGGTGGTGACAGTGGCCGTCTATAGTTTCTTCCTGGCTTGCCTGATTGGCCGCCAGTTCCTGGACCCTGCACAGGGCTACCCTGGCCATGACCTGGACTTGTACCTGCCGGTCTTCACCCTGCTTCAGTTTTTCTTTTATGCTGGCTGGCTGAAGGTGAGCATAATGGTCGATAATAACTAACAACTTATCTGGCACAGGGACTGGGCTATCCACCACAGTGAATAGGGCTATCCACCACAGTAATGGTGGATAGCCCTTTTCAAAGCACTCTAAATGCTTTATTCTTTGGCTAATAAGGAATAAGTACACTGAACTTTTGACACTGTTACCTCACACATCAGGTCTAACAATATCCCAGAATCCCACGCTGTAACGTCTTTCATTTATGATGGTTTAGTAGTTGCATTAATGCAGGAAATTGAAATAGTGAGAACAGGTTTCAGGGGCTCCTTTTCTAAATGTTGGTTCCCCATTCTTTTGCACCTGTTTCTACACTTGCTTTCATGCATATAGCTCGTGACAGAAAATAGGATGGTGATTTGACTCCTGTACTCCTTTCTCAGGTTGCTGAACAGCTAATTAATCCATTCGGTGAGGATGATGATGATTTTGAGACCAACTGGCTGGTTGATCGAAATCTACAGGTTATGTGTTGTTTTTACCCTTCTTCCTTCAAGACTGATGCATGCGTAACTTTCTTCAACAGCTTTGCTTTATTTGCATAACCTAGAACTGGACAGAGTTAAGCTAAGCACAAAGTCCTCCCAGTTGTATATTCTGCTCCGTTAAATACGTTAAATATACTTCCGCTTTACACTTCTCAGGTGTCGCTGTTGTCTGTGGATGAAATGTACGACAGTGTGCCTGTCTTGGAGAAGGATAAGTACTGGAACGAGTCAGAACCTCAAGCCCCCTACACCACTGCCAGTGCGGAACACCGCAAGCCATCATTCATGGGGTCTGCACTGGATATAAGGTATTGTAGGTGGACACTAAGGCCATGAGTATTGAAAGACTTTGAAATAGATTAGAACATTTCAGCAGCAAGTATAAGACATGGAGTAACAAGGACACTAACAGAAATACTGGCCCCTGCAGTGTTCCCAAGGAGGAAATGGAGTTTCAGTCTAACCTGCAGCAGATCAAAGAGCATGAGGCGGCCAACCACTCCACACCTCTGCTAGGAGGCTTGGGGCGGCTACTGGGGGTTCAGCATCAGAGCTTTTCTCGCTCCTCCACCTCCTCAAGAATGTCTCTACTGCGTCGCAGGCCTGGGGCCCCACTGGGGTGCTTTCCCCTCTATCTGCACCCGGAGAGGCCCCTGGCCCCAGGCCACGCTTGCCCTGACCCTCCCCTTGAGCAGAACCTAGAGTACAGATTCTCCTCTATGCTGTTGCATGAGCGACCCGGCTTCTACAGCTGTCCTCAAACGCCCATCCATTGTGTGCCGCCAGCTGTTCCCCGCCCACGACCCCCCCGGAGGCCTCAGACCGACTGGGACCACAGCTCCAGCTCACTCGCACCCACCTTGTTGGGCTCCCAGCTGTTGCCTCCTGACACACCAAGCATTCATCCACCTCCATCATCTGCCTTCCCATGGCTGAGTGAGCAAGGGGAACCTTCCACTGGTCCCACCTTTTCCTTCCCAGATCCTGTGCTTGAGCCATGTCCGCTTCCTCTCCCTCTACCCAAGATTAGGCCTACTCAGCTACGACAACCTCCACGCCCTCACTGCTCCCTGGACCCTATTCCCCCCTCTGACACACATCCCGGTCCCCCTAACACACCGGGAGAACAGTTCTTTTCATTCACACCATTTCGTGTCCCTGTCCCAAACTGCAACATAAGTTCTGGCAGCATCAATACAATCAACAGTTCCTCCTCCACCGCTGGTAGCCATGGCAATATCTGCAGCCAAGGAAACTTTAACTGTGCTAGCAGCACCACCAGTAACGGTCTTGCCAATAATGTAAACCCTGTATCGCCACCTTCTGCTTGTGTTCAACCAGCAGCCAATCAGCAAGTATCACCCAAGGACTCAGGGAAGCCATTGGTTCACCAGGACCTTCTAGACATGCTGGCTGGAAATGGGGAGAGGGTAAGACCAACTGGTGGAAGGGAACAAAAATAAGGAACTGAATAGGTTGCAGTAGTAGGTGTACCCCTAGCCCAATGATTTGATTGAATCTTCCGCTCGCCCTAAGAAAGAAATTTTACAATACATACAAAAGCTGCAGACCTGCCCAGAGGTGTAGTAGCGTATATAGGGATTTGTGTTTTGAACAGCTCTAAGATGCAATGCTCTTAAACCACTGCCTACAACGTATTACCAGCTGAAGATAAACTAAGGTTTGTCCTAGAACCATAGTTTTGTAATCTTCCAAGTGTTCTGTCCCAGAAAGGACGAACTGTTATTACACCGTTCTAAAGCTCAGCAAACTGGGAGTGTCTCATCTGCAGTGTGTACATGTGAATCAGTTAAGTGGAAATAAAAGATGAGGATCCAGCAAGTCCCAACACCTGCAGAACACCACTGAACATCCATATCTTCTGGAAGGTGAAGGCCCACATACTCAAGTGCACAATACACAACCATTAGTGGTCAACATGACAGTAACGCTGAAGTTTACATATCAATCCAAAAACAAGCTCATCCAGTTTGAAATGACACCAAACACACTGAAAAGCTCAGAAACAAGAGTTTCATTTATTTGAGTTTCTTTTGACAAGTGAGCAACCAGTAATACATAGAATACAAAGCGGAGCACTATGGCTTATGAGAGCTTTGGAAGGTACAATGTGGGAGGCTGAGGGCAAGCTGGCACCTAAGCAGAGCCGTGCTAAGGACGCTGCGCACGGACACGCACGCAGCCATTAGGTAAAACATGCAGAAGCGAGCGTGACGATCTAACTGCTCTCCTCTCCCAGCGTATGCTTGTCGAACAGGTACTCCGCCATGCCGTTCTGTGGGGCGCCCATGCGACGCAGGTTGGTGACCCAATCCCCCAATTCCTTGATGGACTTCACCTGCTCATCCAGGTAGTGTGTCTCAATGAAGTCACACATCTGTGGAGACATTTGAAAATGTAAACACACAAGAATAGGGACAACTTAAAACATGACGGCTCACCCTTGTGGAGTCGTGGGCCGCAGACTTACGTGAGGATCATTGTGCTCCGTCGACAGCTTGTGCATATCCAGCAGGGACTGGTTCACAGTCTTCTCCAGCTGTAAAGCACACTCCAGAGCCTCCACACCGCTACCCCACTCATCCCTCTCTGGTTTCTGCAAACACACCCATATTACTGTCACACAGAATGCTGCAGACAGCACATTGCCGTTATCAGCAGATGAGCACACACACACTGTTACACAGGGAGTTCACCACCCCCCTGGCCATTGCCTGGTGTCGGAGGAAGATAAAACTTCCACCTTTTCTCACCAGCTTCTCCTCCTTGTACTGTCAGTTGAGCCCTGACAGGACTCTATGTTCTCTCAATGGGCAAAACAGTAGGAGCACAGGAATGTGCAACTGTGGGTCGACAGACTAACCCTCCCTTTGGGAGCGATATCTAAAAAGCCAGGGCACCAGCATCCACGGTGTCCTCGCACACCTCCGTGACTCCGTGAACAGGCCTTAAGATCATACCTTGATGTCCTGCAGGAAGATACGGCCGCCTCTCTGATTCTGCAACTTCATCAGCTTCTCCGCATGCTCCCGCTCCTCGTGGGACTGCTTGCGGAAGAACTTGGCGAAGTTGTGCAGGGCCTGGTCGTCTCGGTCGAAATAGTAGGCCTAGTGGAGAGAAGCAAAAGTGGTCACGATGGTCATTATGGGGGCAGTGCGGTACATCAGACCTCCCTTTATTTCTCGTTAAAAATCAACTGAATTGTTATAAACGAATTTCCCATTTCGACGCCCTTTCTCACCATGGACAGGTAAACATAGGAGGCGTAGAGCTCCATGTTGATCTGCCGGTTAATGGCTGCTTCGCAGTCCTGGTGGAAGTTGTGCCTCACTTGGGATGCCATTGCTGTGAACACAAAGGGAAAACCACAATTAAAACAAGGTGGCAAAGGGGGCGAAAATTTCTGGAAACCTTCAAGGACAACTATGCCAGCCCACGGATTCGGCAAAGAAAGCAAACTATGAATAATCTAACCTCCAGAATTTTTACAACCCTAGTATTGGCTACATAAAATACCCAGTTTGAGGCTGAGACCATGATTAAGCTGTATTTACGCTTCAAAACCCAACATTGAGCCAGTCACACTCGCCATAGCATACAACTTAAATTACTCGCATTTAGTTTAGGGTTACAGAACAGTGTAGATACTCATGAATGCAGAATGTCTTCCCACGCCCAGTCAGATATCTGCATTTAACTCGTTGTAAAAATACATAAAGGTATACGCTCATTGCCGCCGTATCTGGTTCAGCAAACGGGAACACCGTTCGGCCGAAAGTCAACAGCACCGCGGTACTTTGAGCCGAAACACAGAACACACCGTAAAATAAAGTGCGAAGCAGTTAACAGCGACAACGTATAGTAAACACCGCGGAAATACCTACGTTTGCCCTGTATCCATTACATACGACCGTATCTCGGAATCGACTTTATAAATACGTTTTATGAACGGCTTATAAACTAAGGGATTAACCCCAAGCATATGGCCTTCCAGATACCACATGGATTTGATTTCATTACTGTTAGTGTAGTTCAATGACAATTGGTTATTTTTGTGCGCCGTGCAATGCTGATAAGCAAAGCATATTTAATAGGCTATACTGTAAACATCGTCAAACAGGCAACTCAGCGCATTAAGTAAAAAGCCCGGACAACGGGGTCCAGACATCAGATATCAACCGTTTTCGAAACTCGAAACCACGATTAAAACAAACGCCGAGATCTCGATATGCGAAATTAGCTTCGGGCTCTCGGCTAATTTTTTATTTTGGTAAATCTCCATTGGAAAACGTGCGTCATTTGATAAGGAACATGGAGTCTGGGAAAACCCGAACTGCTTCTGCTGGAGGAGGGGGGGGGGGAGGAAGCAACGTGAATATTCGGATTAAAAAAAATAATATTTCATGCGAACACGACAATGATTAAACGTTTTAACGTAATCAAAAGAGCAACAGCGACAATAAAATAGGGATTCAGCAGGTAACGTTGCTTGAGCCCTAATACTTAGCATAGCCGTCACTGCATCATCACTGCTCACTTTCAGCTTCACTGGTAACATCTACAAACTAAAACCGGTTCAGACCGACGGACAGAAAACCGGTAACAACACTGAAATATTTAGGCAGCGCTTTAGCCACCGTTAGCCAACATGGCTGTGCTGCCTCCGCACTGCAAGACTGCCGAAGGTCACCGGCCCAAAGCCGCGGCACCGCCAACAGGTCATAAAAACCGAGAATCCGGACTCCCCGTTCACCGCACACTATAGCCATATACCGTAGCGTTAAATATACACATGAAATGCGTCAGAATCTTAAAATGTTTATGATAAACGTAATAAGACCCCAGCTTCCACCTTAAATGCAAAATTAAATTCAGTGATAAGCAGTGATCGTACTTACCGTTACTTGCTGGATAGCACTGACGGCAGGTCCTGAAGAACGTAGGGAGTCTGATTTATTTGATGATGTCAAAATGTGGACTGAAGGTTGTACAAATTTGCTGGTAGGCCGGTTGCCGTTCAAGCACTGTTGAAGCAGGTAACCTTCTCTACCTACAAAGGTGGGAGCATGTGGCAAAGCGCGCGGTACGTACCCATAAATACTAATTGCGTCACGCACTTGAAAAGGGGCGTGGTGAACCTGGCCCTCATCAGCCAATCGATGCGCAGAGGATGAAGGATGACGTCACTAATTCACCAGCAGCGAACTGAACGTCGACATTTTTACTGTTATGTGGGTGTAAGGTTGAATTTTTATTAATCTTAAACACCCTGCATTAAAACCTTGCATTTCATACGAACCAGTAATTGTCAGTAGTACAGTGTCACCAGGCTCTCGCCGAGAGATGTGCGTGGAAAAACATGGCCTAGTGTCTATTTTTCTCTGCTTTACACCACATTGACATATATGTAAATGTTTAGATTCAGGTCTATGAGGGTAGACCCAGATTATTTTAACTCCCTTTGTGAACGAATACATTTGTTATTCACATTGTACAAACAACCGTAGAACTACTGTTTCAGCTAAGACTTCTTTCTAAAAAGTGGAAATGAGAAAGATCACGTAGCGGACTTGTCATACGAAACAATCCTGTAATTCCTTTAAAAAAGTGAAGATCCATCAGCATAGAACATCCTGTTGTTATGACTATTCAATCCTTGACGCACATGTATTACACCATATATGTTGCGATGACCACGATTTCTTGCCTCCTTGTTCGCTGCGTTAAGTTCTATGCTTTACACAATAGATTTAAGGATACAGTAAGGGTCGCAAATACAATACTGTTGTAAATGGGTTATACTAATGAACGGTTGTATTAAACTACTTGGAGATGATTACCTAATTGCTTACAAAAGACAAAGCAGAAAGTGTTTCTTTATAGTCAGCTTATTTATAATAATAATTAATAATAATTGATACTTTATTGATCCCCGTGGGGAAATTGTTTTTATATTGATGTTTGCTGCCAGCATCATCGCTTCATCCATCCATTTCCCATAAACATTTATCCAACGCGGTGGGAAACACGTACAGGGCAGATAGACAGAATGGATGAGATGTCAGTCTGTTGCAGGACACTCAGGCACAGAATCACACCTTGAGAAATGCAGAGACACCAGGTCACATGTTTTTGAATTATGATCGAGTAGTAAGCAGAGTATCCAGCTTCAACCAAGACACTGGACACATACTCACTAGACAGTAAAAATACACAGTCATGCTAACCACCCAGCTTCTGTGCCAAACAATGGAATATGAAATTCATATTTACATGTTGAAATTATTCATTTTTGATCACGTACATACGGTAAAAATCTGACTTTAGTATGATGGGTTCGATGAAATTGTTTCAGGTTTTTTTTTGTTCGCTTATAAAGAGGGTAAAGGTCAATGTGAAGTACATAGTTTAAGCAACAGTGGATAATTCCTGCCATGTGAGGAACCCATGTGAGTTATGGGTTTGTAAATGCTGGATGATGTCTCAGTAATTACAGTGACACATACGTTGTGGGCGGTTACAACATTACTGGAAGGTCAAAGATTATGTTTATCATGTGAGCCAACCCTGCCTCTCCTTGAGTTGAAGAGATTCAGTGCTGATTAATTTGGCCAGTCCCCCTCCCCCCCATTTCAGAAATTACAGGAATGATAAAATGTACCTATATATATATGAAAATTCTTAGAGAATAAAAACAAAAAAAACCCTTAACCATAAACTATATATTACGTAACTATGACTTTCATTTGTTTAGAAGTTTCCATATTTTGCCTGAATAGCTGAAGTTGGGTAGGATTGTCCAAAAAAACATAAAGTTCTTGAAACCAACCAAACTGAACCATCATTTTACTGTTGTAATGATGGTTGCTTAGCTAGGCCAGCACAGTGCTCGCCACTTCTTCATCAATACTGCAGCATGCCATCATTTCTGAGAAAAGTTGCAAGTCCAGGACAGGCTAAGCATCGACCGATGATGCCTCATACAAGCGATTGTACCGTTTACACTGTAGCAGCCATCCATTGGCCACAAATAGAATAAAGCAGGATATCGCAGCCAAACTTCTGAGAACATCAGCTCTGGAAAATCTTTGACTCAGAAGGCCAGTGTTCCCAGGTTTGACACAATGTCTGGCCAAATTAATAGGACAAGTATCTCACACCCTGTTTCGGGCACTGAAGAGCAGCAGCAGTCGGCTGAACTTACCCATTGACCAGTGGCATTCTGATGATGATTCCTACACAGCCAAAACGTTTGTTCATTCAGTGAAAGTCGTCAACGATACAGCTGAGCGTGGAATCAAACTCATCACTGACTTTGCCACATGTATCACCACTAACCAAGTCCAGAGAGCAGCTTCGCTGCAAGTTGTTGAACATCATAGACAGTTGTATCCAGACAATCAAAAGAAAACTTTAAATGCTTTGAAGTTGGCTGGCTGCAGCCAAACACTGACAAACAACAGTATCTGATTGTAATTACAGTTTGAATGGCTATCATTGTGCCCATGTTTTTATTTTTCTGCAGTAGTCTTGTTAATTTTCTGTTCTAATAAAATTCTATGTAATTCACCTGTAAAATATTCACCTCAGACTATGTTAAAGTATAGGTTGGCCTGGTTTTATGATATCTTGATAAATCCTGTTTTATACCTTAAATATGCAAAAAATTCCTATCAGATGCATGTCAAATCTGATCAAACTGAGTAAGAATGGATCTTACAGAGTCAGAAAAAGACACAAATATTACATTTTGATATAAAAAAATCTTAGAATGCATATTCATCCCAAGACCAGACTGGATTTAAATTGTAATGGGGGTACCAATGAAAACTGTCTTTGAGAGACCTCAGAAGGAACAGTCTCAGAACAGGAACAGAAGGAAAATATTTTTATAAATTGTTTTAGGCCAAGCACAAATAGCAGAATGGGAAAAAAAATCAATTTGATTGGTTTCAAGAACTTGATATGTTTTTGGAAAACCCTATTGGTTGGGCTGTCTGTGTCGTGAAGAATCTAAGTTTCAAGCAGCTGCTTCTGAGATCCTGCATTATCAGCTTGGAGCGGACGCAAGCTCATGTATTCAAAACATACTGCCGTGTTCGTCCTCTTATCCTGAGGATCCAACAGTCGCCCCAAGGCCCTGAGTCAATAAGGCTCCCAAAGGGCCATCTAACCTTTAAATAATCTGCTGGAATAATTTGTTAAAAACATATTTGGGAAAACGTCAGGTGCTCAGAAAAGGACAGAAAAATGAAAAAGAGAACATTATAGCAGGAATTTGATGAAGGATGTTGCATTTTGGTGGTGGGGCTGCCCTTACGTTAGCCTACATTTTGATTAAATTGTGTGCTCTTTTAATGAGAGTTCTTTTAACATGTGCAAATGGAACGTGTCGTGTGTGTGCATTATAGCCGGTCAGCGACCTGTGAGCAGTCAGGAAATGTGTGACGGTGGGCTTGTTCCCAAGCATGAGCAAGACACTCAGTGGGGCAGGTAGGTCCCAAAAGAGCTTATTTTTTAAACACAAAATTGCAGTTAGTCCCTACAGCCCAGTGTTTTTTCTTTGTTCACTTACAGAGGGAACCTTAGGGATAGTTAGATGGGTAACAATAGGCAGCCGAGCTATGGAAGCCCCTGGCCCATATGGAAATGTGTAACTTTGGCAACAACAACCGCATCTAGAGGTATAGACTCACCGAAGCTGTTGGCGAGCAATTAGTTTTTTTTTTTTTTTTTTTATAAAAAGGAAGCTTAAGAGAGGCATGACTGAGTGGTCGGGATCTGGAACCCTTTTAAGGACCTCCAGTACAGAGTTTCATTTTACGCTGCGTTTTTTTTCTTTTGTTTTTTTTTTTACACCAATTCAATTTTCATGTAAACCTTTGCTGTCTTTTTGTCAGTTTCCATTAGGGCTACCACTGTATACCACTGGCTCCCAAATACAACCAGTGTGAGGGTCATAAACACAAAAGACAAAAAAATAAAAAAAAAAAAAAGCAGAAGTGTGGTCTGGAAGATTCCATAACTAGAGCAGTGAGCCATTCGATTTCATACGGACATGCAGTGATTCCGGACATATGATGGTTGAGTCACATATAGAGATGTTGCGGAAATGTAAGAGTGAAAAATACAAGTCACATACATTACATAATCCCCAAGCTGCCAGTCCACTTAAGTGAATTGAATATTTGAAATCAGGTTTGGTTTGCTACAATTAAAGGCTTTTGTTACAGCATCTATAAAGCAAAGGGACAGTAGTGCTGCGTTTCAGAAACAATGCTATCAAAACTCAAGACGAAGCTATAAATAGCTTTTAAAATTTGCGACCTAATCCAACTTCTTTGTATATACATTCAATGAAGCCAACTTCTGAACCATGTGCTCTCAAAACTAGGCGCCTCTTATTCACCTCCATCTGAGGGTATATTCGTCATCTGGGATTCAAGTCAGGGATACTAAATATGCTGTTACTGTAGGTACTATTACCTGCAGGGGGCTACAGTGAGTGTGGGCTGAGAACAAGCCCCTTGAAAAGTGGCAGTTCCTGCTTCTCAAAAGAGGTGAAAGGCAATAAGAACATGTCAGGCAGGTCTGAAATCCCTGGTGCACATGAGAATTCAAACGGGCTATAAACAAAACAGACCAAACCACATAAGCAAAAACTGGAAGTTGTCCAGAATGAAAGGCATCGATAGTCACACAAAACCTACTTCCTCACTGATACCAGTTTCAACCCAAACAGACACCAACTCATGTTGTAAATCCCCTGGACTGGATATGGCTTGAAAATCACAGCAGTGCAAATTTTTATTTTTTTTTAAAACTAACACAGAGAGACAAAGAAACCACCCGAACTCAGTACTCCACATTCAGCAGTCGAGTTCCTGGCTGTACATTTGAAGACATTAGCTTGTCAATGTCTAAGCAAGTACTTAAAACCAGTAGATCAGAAATTAATCTGGCACCCAGCAAGTGATCTTAATGCAAATATTTACACATGTGCTTTTCCATTAAGTCAGGGAACCAGTTGAAGTTCCAACTCAAATGGTGAGTGGGGGGGGATGGGGCAGGCCTCAGTGTACTGATTCTGGCAGACTGGCCACTTCCTGTTGACACAACTGTCATGGTAGAATGAACTTGGAATTTGGAAGCAAGAAGCCTGATTTATACAGGTAGAAAATTTTACCAAGAGCACAGGATAACTCCATGTTTCATAACATTTTATTATGAGAAAAATTTAACATTTCAGAAAGAAAAACTATATTCTGCCCCCATCTAAAACACAAAAACTTTTGAGTTACAAAACTGAAAACCAAGATAAGAGCTGAAGTAGGACGAAACAACAACAAAAAGACCAGACAGTGCAAACAGAAGAGTTTAAAAGGCTGTCGCTCCACCCCGAGGAGGTGAATGCCAGACAGCAGAGCTGGTACGTTTAAAATATCGGGGCTTGCTCTTGTAAAATATCCGCTCTAGCTGTGGATCCTCGATCTCTCCGAAGTAGGAGTCCACATCCACGGGGTTGAAGTACTGCTGCATCATGGCCTGCTGTAGCTGCCGCCCTGAAAGAGGGAGGTGAACTAGGTAAGCACACAAATTATAGCAGGCGAGGGTAAGACTAATTGTCCAGTCCTGTTTATCGCATCTCTTCTGATCACATGAAAGTGTGATGCGTATGAAATCCTTAATGCCATCATACCATGTAGCCTGTGATGAATTCCTGCCCCAATGCATAAACAAAGAGGAGATGTGTTTAAGGGCCTTTCAAGAAGGCAAAATAGACACTTAATGAAATCCACCCATTTAAGCTACACTCATCTTGCATACCACACAGTGCGTAGTCTACAGGAAGATAAGGCAGAACAGAATGTAAAAAGTAGTGAGCTTCTACGTGGCTTTGTGAATTCGGAATTTCCAAAAATTTAAGCTAGAGGGAAACAATTACTTTCTTTGTTCTCTAAATCAGTCAAGCATTTCAAGTGAAGATCAGAGAATGAGCCTGGCACAGCTGTGAATTGTACTCAGACTTCCCGCTAACAGCCTTCAATTGCTACCAGTTTGCTGCTTCTCTATTTTAAGTCCTGTGACCCACCAGGCATCACAGCTGAAGTGCATTTCTACAGCACGATCGGGCAAATCACCCTTCTTGGCTTCCGCACTGGAAAAAACTGTCGATGTTACTGCAGAGCAAAATCAAGAGGCGAAAAGCTGGGAAACTCACCCTCAGCCCAGGATGGGATGGGTTTCCGAGGAGCTGACTCATCATCAGTAGAGTCATCGCTGTTCTGATCCATCCCATAATCTTCAGGGTTGCTGCTAACAACTGGCTTATTTCCACCCTTTGGGGTGATCTCATATGACTGAGGGGAATACTGTGGATTAACAACCTCAGATCAGCCGTCGGTCCCAACTCTGATCCACATCACTTAAGATTCTTTTCCATTATAACACTTAAGCCCCTTCCTATGATGAAACATTTCAGAGCATGCCAGGGCTTAAACACCACGGGCAGCTGGCGCTATGGAGCAAGTCGCTATAGTAACGATAGTGGGCACCATACCTCCACAGTCACATTGAGGACGGTGCTTTTGCCAACTGGTGTTTTTATCAGCGATTGCTGTGGGAGAGGAATATGGGGGAGACGATGAAATACACCTTCTATCACACAGGGGTGCAAGCACTTAAAAGAAACAACTAAAACTAACCATACTCTGGACTCATACTCCTACCAACAAACAGTCGACGTTTCTGAATTATAAACATTTATTGGCCAACATCGTCGCGTTTCTGGAGAACAAGTCCAGCATAAGGAGGAAATAATTGCTATACAGTGGTTGGACTGGATTTCAAAGATCGCAGAAGGATCAGACATGTGAGCAAACAGCCTGCACATGAGCACACGCCCCACCTGTAGCTCTTCCCTGCTCTTGGCGGCAGCAGCTTGCTTCTGTAATGCTGCCTTTTCCTCCTCAGCCTTCTGTCTTTCCTGCGCCTCCTGTTGGAGACATTAAGAATTACAACCCAAAGGCTCAGAGCATCTCAAAGGGCACATCAGGGGCACGCTGCGAGAGGGCAGACCTTCCGCCTCCTCTCCTCCGCCTCCTTGCGCTCCTTCTCGCGGGCAGCCAGCTCCAGCTCCCGCCGCAGGGCGTCTGCTTTTTCCCGCTCTATCCTTTCCCTGTGGACGATGGCTGGAGATAAGCTCAAGGGCACTGGGTTTGTGTGCAGGAGCCAGGTGAAGAATCTCTGGCTACATACTTCTGCATGGCTCTACTCTGCAGTATTTAAAGGCAGAGGCTCGTCTTTGTGGCACCTTTCAGCAGCTGCCTGCTGCTGGCGCAGTCGCTCCTTCTCTCGTTCCCGCTCCCTCTCCAGCTCCCGCTGACGCTCCTGCTCCCTCCGCAGCTCCTGAGCCCGTCGTGCCTCTGCGAGCTTGCGGGCTCGCTCCTGCTCCTCCTCAGCTCGCCGCTTGGCCTGGAGCTCCTGCTGCCTTTTCTCCTCCTCCTGAGCCACCATTCACAGGAGGCCCAGTCAGCACTTCTCCCTCCATTAGAACAGGGCACCACAGGCCGGACAAGCCCATCTCCTCACCTGCTGCATCTTTTTCTTGGCAGCTTCCTCCTCTTGGAGCTTCTTCCTCAGCTCCAGCTCCTCTTGGCGCTTGGAGGCCACCTTTTTCTTGGCCTTCTCCTCCGCAATTCGCTCCACCCTCATCTGCGGTAGATCACCAGAGCTTTCAGTGGTGAACTTTCAGATCCATAAGCAGCCAGTACATATTCATGATTTAATGCCATTAATTGTTTGGAATTTCAACCCAAAACCTTAACTGTGGCTCTCATTCAGGTCAGTCTATGCAGTTTTTGCAGAACTACTGAATGGAGTTCGGCTTAAGTGCGACTTCTCTCAAAGAGCCAGTGCAACAGTATACATCCATTCCTTTTTGGATTAAGTAGAGTTTCATTATTTTAGTGAATCCTCCATTCAACAATGTGAACAGTCAGCAATCAGCAAGTTGCTCTTCAAACATGTTGGGCCTCGCAAAATTCAGGGATCATAAGAGCAGCCCTGCCGCCTCATGAAACCCGAGTGAAGACAACCCAGATGATCTCTGACAACCTAAAATCCCACGTGCCATGGCTCGGAGCAGCGGGAGGAACGGTCGTCAGGCAACGAACCAAGTTAGTGTCTCAAATAGTAGTAACATAAGATCACAGACCTTAAAAGTAAAAGAATAGGACAACACTGAAGTCTAAGAAGCACCCTTTGGGCTAGACGACATGTTTAATCCGTACACATGCAAGGCTTCCCCTACTGGAAGGCACGACAGAAGCAAACAGCCCTATTTATCTCACCTTGTCATTCTTTTCATCTATTTGGGCCATCTTCTGCTCTATTTTCTTCTTCTTCTCTTCCTCTCTCTGCTCTTCTTTCACTCGGGCCTCAACCACCTTTCTCAGGCGCTCATCTCTCTTCCTAGAGAAATACATCACCACAATCTAAACATCTAAAATGTTCTTATGGCAGTTAAGAAAAACCTGGCACACCGGTCACTAGTTAACTGGAATGCACCTTCCATGGCAAAATGAAGGTCTATATCCTCATTTTATCCTCAGTGGACACAGAACCCACCAGCCTTCAGAGCATGTGGTGTTGGGCCTCGCAAAATTCAGGGATCGTAAGAGCAGCCCTGCTGCCTCATGAAACCCGAGTGAAGACAACCCAGATGATCTCTGACAACCTAAAATCCCACGTGCCATGGCTCGGAGCAGCGGGAGGAACGGCCGTCAGCCAGAACATTAAGTTGCCAGGAGTGGTAGTCCAACCTTTTCATCTCCTCCTGCTTCCGCTTCTTTTCTTCCTCCAACTTTTTCTTCCTCTCCAACTCCTGCTCCTGCTTCTTCTTCAGAGCTTCTAAACGCAATCGCTCTCGCTCCTGGGGGAAAAGACACACAGGCATGGAGACAAGTCAGATCTGGTCACTCAATGCACAGGGTCAACTCAAGTTATTGACAGACCAGACACTGAGTATTAGCTCATACAGTTGTTCCTTTGACTTTTGCAGATGTTCAAGTCAATTTCCAAACTCCTGCTGGCCTGATAATACAGCTTTCCCTGCTAGCACAGAAAAATTAAACTGGAGTAAAATCCTGCCTACCAACAAAATAATGTACAATATGCATACTGAACCACTCTATAGCATTTGTGCTATTAAAACTAACATTTCCCCATGTCAATCCCATACGCAGATCAACCCCCTCCCTGTACTCAAGCACAGACCGACCACTGCAACATGCTTACCAACTGTCAGTGTGTAGATACCTCCCCGACATGTGCATCCACAACAGCCAAATGTGCTCAGTCTTTTGTATGGAATTAGCCATAGAGCAATACCAAATGACGATGTAGAGCACAGGTGTCAGACTCCAGTCCTGGGGGGCCAGAGCCCTGCACATTTTTGGGTTTCCCCTCGTTTAACACACCCGATTCAACTTCTCGTGCTAATTAGCACATAGCTGTTGAGCTGAATCATCAGGGAAAGAACTAAACTACACAGGGCTGCGGCTCTCCAGGACTGCAGTTTGACACCCCTGATGTAGAGAATGGCTCATTTTATTTATTCCAAAGGGCCAATCTGCATATTCTTTGCAAACTGACGCAGCTGGTCAGTAGATAGTAGGGGCATAAAGATGAAACAACATATGATGAATTGGTTAAGGTAGCGATTCAAATGCATGAAATCTATGTTAGAACTGGTTATGATCAACTTGTTTGGGCAAAATCCTCATTAAGATGCTAATTGCGGGCTGCGTGTTCTCGCACAGATGTGCCGCAGGTCGACACGCAAAGTGGTGCTGGTAGTGGGGGGGTTGGTTACATTTTCATAAAGAAAGCACTACCTGATCTTCGCGCCATTGTGGTGATTTTTTTGCGCTATGACGCTTTTTGGAAACTCGGCCATTGTGTAGCGCAGAAGGCATCTGGACTATTAGAGAGCAAATTCATGACCCAGGTGACGGCAGCTGACCAGGTAGCTCACGCTTTGTATTAAATGAGCCAAACAGCATCTCATAGGCCAGTCAGGTAGCACTTCCTTTAGGCATTTGTTTTTTTCCCACCCTTAGAGTTTAGCAGTAGACCTTTGTTATTCATTTGTGTTGCGCTTTTAATGTTTTGAGATTCTACTTTTGGTGTAATCCATTGATAATTGGCAAGTAAGCTCATTTGTGAAATTTCAGTAAAAAAAAAATAAAAAAAAAAATAGGTAAACTCAATCAAATTAATGAATTAAGCTAGAAATTAAAGATGCACTGAATCGTTCCCTAAACAATTGTAACCGATTGCCTTGGGGCTCAATATTTACCCCCCCCCCCAGTAGACAGCATTGCTTTGAGTTCCGTTGGATATGGATGGAATGGGAGCAACGGATCCACAGAAATCTAGGGATGATAATGGGGAAAAGACCAAAGCCCACTATCCACCAGTGAATGTGACAGCAACGTCCCACTACACCAAGTTAGTGACAATACAAATGGGACAGACAGTGGAAGGTGCCACAGGCCAAAAAAAAAAGCAGGTCAGCATTAACTGGTGCAGTGTGAGCAGGACACACCGGCCTGGAATACTTACGACCAAACCGGAGGCTGGCTGGGGGAGGGTGGAGAGACAAGAGGAAGGAGACCGCATAAATAATGTATTTGTAAATGGTCTAGGCACAGTTTAGGTTTTGCAAACACATGAACCCAAGGCATGTTCCAGAAGAACACAGGACATAAGCACACAAATGGCACCTTGAGTGACAACTGGTCTTCCATGGCAGATGTGGCACAACTTTCATTTGAACTGACCAACATGCTTCAAGAAGCAAATCTAGCTCCACATCACAACTCCCACACTATTAAAAGCATGGTTTTCATGGCATACTATAAATATATAGTAAAACGGAACATCTCCTCAAACAGAATAAAAACTTCTAAAATTGAAACACACGCTGCATAGCAAACAGTATTTGGAAACAGTCTTACGTTTTGCAAACAAGTTATATTGCAAGTCAGTTTTGGCAAGAGTATCAGACGATAGCACCATACTAGAATTTATTCTTGTACAAGACAGCAACCTTCCATGTTCATAATACAGCAGTTCAGCTCATTCAGCCCATAAGTTCTGTTCCAAAAGCAAAAGGCATCCAACAATGGAAAAACATGCCACCCCACACTGAAAAGCAGAACCGTAGGCCTTTTCACACCACAGGAACCAGAACCTTTTTCCTGGAACCCCTCAGGTTCACACAGCAGGAACTACAATCAAGCAAAGTTCCACAGAGGTAGTTCCGGAAGCCTTTAGTCCTTACTCCAGACTAGATACTTATCACTTAAACACAAGCTACTGGGACAGTACATAGTGATAAACTTGCTGACTGGTTTACCACAAGCACTGGTGTTCGCTTGGAAGGTATGTGGGAAAGTAGTGGAACAAAAAATAAATATAAATTCTACTTCTGTCCCCTCATTTGTTGGAAAATTTGATCTATAACCAACACACTTCTGTCTCATCACCAGCACCGGTGGTGAAACTTGCCAGTGTTTAATGGGGTAACATTACATTGTAATTTGGAAAAGGAAAGATCAATCTGCTGGTCAGACTTAATTATAAACATGTTGCAGACTGTATAAATAAAATACAAATAAAAGGCTGTCCCATTTTCATCGTGATGGACCCCCTCCACCCCAAAAAAAAAGAAAAAGGACTTGTTCATCTTCCATTGTTTTGGGGTGGTGGTGTAGATTCGTGTGAAATTGTGTGGGAAGTTTGGCAATACAAGCTTTTTCTACCTCCAGCACTTATTTAGCATAAAGGTCCCAGGGTGTTGGGCAGTGTGAATACAACACAAGTGATCAGGAACTACAAGCCGCTAGGTGAGACAGCTCAGGAGCTTTTAAACAGGATCCAGAACTTCAATGTGAAAGCGCCTTACACATCCAGTCACTTAACCATAAAAATTCAAGAATTGAGGTAAATGAACATCGTACCTCAGACTGATACCAACTTATACACGTGATTAACCCCAGTATCTCCTAGCACAAGGGAGACATTCAAATCTCATAGTGATCAAGCCTCTGTTGCACATGAACTTCCAAAACACAGCACAAAGTGTGCCCAGGACTAGGATTGAGAAGCGCACCATTAACCACATTCTGAGAAACCTGCACCGAAAATTAGCAGAGTACATTAAACGGCGGCAGACATAGGTGACTGACCTTCAGATCTACTCTGAGGGGAGTCGAGTGTTTGATGAAAGACTTCATGATAGCATTTCTACCCATGGACCCAGGGGTTGACATCAGAATCTGGTTCTTCTGTACTGTGTGCAGGAATGACTTCATATTGGGCTTAATGACCTGGAAAGTCAGATGCAATGTTTTACACCCAAAACATCTCCATAGATCTCTGAAGACAGACCAGCTGAATTATATCACAGGGCATTACATTACACTCTGCGGTTTTCATAACAGAGTGGCAGATACCATATTACAAACTGATTATGGAAGCTATTAAACATTTCCTAAAGCAAGGATGCCCCAATTAATAGACCAGGGTAGGGCCCCTTTACCAGTAATGAATGATCACTTATGAACTAAAAACCAGATGGCAGTGAGGCCTCCCCCCCTCCCATACTTTTACTTCCAAGTGTGGAGGGGGGTGGGGTTTCACCTTCAATGAGTTTCACTTTGAGTAAACCAAATTATACTGACGTTTCCCCAATTTTAGACGTGATGGGGCCCTCAAACATAACTTCACTGTATACCTCCATGTTGAACACCCATAAATCAAAACAAAAAACCTGTTGGTTAGTAAATACAAGCAGACTTACACTCTGGCTCTTGTTTGGGGGAGAGGGCTTCTTTCTTGGGGTAGCAAGGTCCTCTGTGCTGGAGCCCAGGCGCTTGGTGCTAGAAGTAGCCATAGACAGGGCAGGCTGAGACAAACCCATAGCGCAAACACACACTGACACCATAAAGTCTCTTGTCTCCCCCATAGAACTGTATCACAAAAGATTCCTGGCTTAGCTGGCTAACTTTGAGGATAAGTACAGGTAACTGACTTTCCGATATAATGATGCGGATTTACTTCTTAGTGGGATACACCACTCCACTAACTCATGCTACAAGCCTAACTTGGTCCACTGCAGGTTGTGTTACGGGCTCACAGATATCAAATACTGCTTGGACTAGGGCTGTCGCGATCACGTTGTGATGTAATCACGATTAAATGGGCAGGTGCAATAATACTATATGGACATTTACTTATGCCAACAATTTGGCAAGCAGGTTAGTAGTGTGCCTAAAATATTGAGATGCGCATTGTGACACCCAAAAGTTAATGATCAGTAGCAATTCAGCATATCTTTATGTTTATTAAATTCAGTTAGTGGAGCAGGCCACATGCTATTGTTTTGGTAAGTCATGAAAGCAATAGGCACTGAAGTGGTGGTGCTTTTTGCAGATTGAAGTCCGACACGTTTATTACACAAAAGGTCCATGTAGTACTGAAAAGCCAGCATCAGGACGACAAATCTCACCAGATTACAGGTAAATTACAGGTTCTCCAGACTAGAGGTAAACTTCAATATTTGAATGTTCACTCATGCACTTCACGGTCAGTGACTGTTGCTCTTACAGTTACTAGTGATGAATGGGGAAAACCCTGCTGTGATCCATGCTTGTGTGATTGGCTGATTGTTGCACATGGCACACTTTTATATGCTTGCGCTCTGGATGCAATCTTGTTTTCATTAAGAGGATATGGCTCAACGCAGATTGCTGATAGTTACAATATAGTTTCTCTCAGATAAGCATGTTTAACGACTGAATAAATACTCTGTCCCAAGCCTGACTTTTCTACACCAGTTTCATGATACAGGCCCCAGTTCAGTCACAATTTGATCCTTAAACTGAATGCATCATTTAGTGGTTTCACTTTTACAGAGCAAGTAATCAAAACAAGGGAACAGACCAGGGTAAAGGCATTTACAGGTCCGTGGGGCAAGCTTACCTGAGACTTGAGATGGTTGCTAGGAGCTTCTTTCCACTGTCATCATCTGTAGAGGAAAGTCCACATGTGTGATCATGCACCAGCATTACTACAACACAGAAGACTCTATAGGCAGATGGGAAAACGGCATCATCACCTGAACCAGATGTACAGACTTTCTGAATGGCAGAGGGTGGGGCTGGGGGGCCCAGCGGAGTGTTGGTCTGGGCCATGGAGCGTGTGAAACGGCGGATATCTTCTCCAGCCTTTTCCTCTTCTACCACCACCTGAACACAGACATACGTACATCAGGCCTGATGTTGGGCAGAAGGCATCTCCCCAACATCTGAGACAGTCTTACCTTAACTTCTGGCTCCACCACTGCCTCGACTGGTTCCTCAGTCAGCACACTGTTACACAAGACAGAGTTACATCATTCGATAAATATTCAAATTATGATTTCAGAAGCAGCACCAACAGCACCTGATTTGGGTTAACGTACCCCACCTTTACCCATTTCACATGCCAGTACAAGAAGCCACTTCTGATTTGTCCAAACAAAAGCCATTCGCGAAAATAAAAATCATGGACTTGCTCACAACTGCATTATTACTTAGACTGTTAAAAGCTGCTATTGTATTGCAATACCAAAAATTAAATTACGATTCTATCATTTTGCAAATTTCAATATTTAAGGAGTCTCAACATGCAGTGAATGCAACAAATCTGTGTTTTGCAAAGAGGGTCACAATCATTTCACACATCTTGTGCAGAGGTAAGTAGCTAAACAAAAACCACTGTTGCCCACTGTCAGCCTCTAGCTGATAAACCAGGCAGAGGAAGTGAGATACGGCATTAATTTTGGATTTAAACCAAACGAAGAGGTTGAACCTGCAGACCTGAAAGCCCCAGGCTGCTACAAGGCTGCAACACGTGTAACCTGGTGAACCGTCCGGCTTTTGCTCACCCCAACTTATATAAAGGTGTGCAAGATTACATCACTATTGTGTTTTGTCTGTTATCTAGTGGTCATTACGTCACGTGTCGGCTGAAAGTCATGTTTAGCCTACATGAGGTTGTTCATATCGTTTCCAGTGGCAAAAAGTAAGCTAAATGACACACAAACTCAACACTATTGTATTATCAGAGGTTTCAGAAATAATGTGAACTAGGAACATCAAGTGCAACTGAAATTTCATGTGAACACACTACTGCTGTATTTGTATGCATTATAGATATATTGTGACAAGACGCACTAAACACTAATAAATTATTACGGCATGCTACAATACTGTTGCCATTCAAATTAACAGTATACACTATTACTGTAGCCTACTTCACAAATAGGCTGGTATTTCAAAGCAACATATTTAAATTGCAGTGTTTTTCCATATCAATACTGAGGTACCGAAGCTGGCATCTATATTGAAATAACTTTGGTATCAGTTGAGCCCCACTACTTACCCATCCATCTGATCTGCTGCTTCTCCATCGGTGTCCAAAAACACCTCCCCTGATTGTGAAAAACACAATGCAAACACAACCAATGTAGTTTATAAAGTTCATTAATATATTAGAATCAAGTATACCATGAATTTAACATACAAGCACTGTAAGGTTTGGTGGGGGGTGACTCACCACTGGAGCTACTCAGGCGTGCCTTCTTCTTGAGGAATGAACGGCGGGACGCGCGGCGCACGGCCTGTTGGGTCATGCTGCGGCGCAGGCCGCTCAGGGAGCAGCGTACGGAGACCCGGCGGGTGGAGGAGCGGCGTGACGCCGCCGCGTGGGAGCCGCTCTCCTGAGCCGCACTGGGGGGCATCTTGGAAGCCACCTGGCTGTCGGACACTTCCTGTGCCAGCAGGAGATCCGCAGAATTCCGCTCAGCAGAGGAAATGGTGACCACTAGCTGAGGGGGAGACGCGGCAGGCGGTAGGGGCTGTGGGATGGAGCTGACTGACTCCAGCTCTGCCCCAGCCTCCGGCTCCTGGGGATCAGCGGCATGCTGCACACCAGGCTGCATGGGGGCTTCCTTCCCCGACTCCTGAGAGCTTCCCTTGCTGGAGGCGTCATCCACCACCTCCGTTTCCATGGAAACCTGCCGCTGCCTGTTACGGCGGGTGTTGCGCTTGGGCTGCTCTGCTTCCACGTCTGGGGCGGTGCCCGCTCCCATGACGGTCACATTCTCTGCGATCAGCTCAAGCGTCTGCGCCACGTGAGTGGAGGAACGCAGGTTACTGCGTGCGCCTCTGGAGAAACTAAGGGAAGACATATGGAGAACAAGGTCAGCGTTAGAAGCTGACAAAGGAGTTTCCTCATTTCCTTGCTACATGGTAGCTTACACCTAATCATGCTATTCGCGCCAAACCCAGCCCTCAAATACAAGTCATTCATTTTTAAGAAAGTACATCACTTCTTTAAAATTAAGTGTATTATATTTGTTTTTATAATGTACAAACATTCTAGGTTATTGAAACATCACAACTGTTCCTAATTGTGTTTGTAACTAATATCCCCGCCCACACACACACACACACACACACACACACACACACACACACACACACACACTCTTCCTTACACCTAACCCCAACCCCATTCCAAGGTCTGTACCTGTTAATTTTGTGTACTGTACCAACAAAGCAGTCACTCACCGTCTCTTGCCACGGTTGTCTGTACGGCCCACCGAAACCCGCTTCCTACGGTTACTCTTCTTTTGCGATGGAGTCTTTGGCATGAGTTCGGGTTCTGCGCTGAAGTCACTAATGGACAGAAAAAAAAAAAAGATCAAAACCTGCAGTGCCAATTTCAACACTACAAGTCTCACTGCTCCACTCCCATGAAACCCCAAGATCAGATGCACTACCCACCTGGAGAACATGCGGACAGCCTCTTCTTGTATTTCATCCAGCCACACCATGTGGACCTTGTCCACTTCATCAGCAAACTCCTTCATCTTTGTATCAAACAACTCCCGGAGGGAGTGCATGGTGGAGAGCAGGGAGTTCATGGCTGCAGCCTGTGGTGGACAGACGACACCAATGAGCAGTGGAAATACAACGATGCATCAGTTTTCACAAGTCCGTCACAATACACAAGTTCATCAACACTAGTTTGTATTCAAGAAGAAATTTCATCTTAAAATTACGACATGCAAAAAATACCGAGAGGAAACTATTTCACGTGCGCGGAATCAATGTTTACCACACCGTCTCTTATCGGTAGTAATAACAATACGCACTTGCTTCGCATTCACGTGTTCAGTGGTGTTTATGAACAATAAGCCCTACAAATTCGAGATCTTCCTCACAAATTACAGCTTCGTGTTCCACGTAATACCACTCAGCCACAATCAAATTAACTGGAAGATCGACCACTTTTTAGAGAGTAAATAGAACTGGTTTCCTTAAAGTGCAGAATAGACCTCTGCAAAAGTAGCCATCTTATGATGCGGACATACTTGGACAAGCAGAATCACCAACTAAACACCAGACCAGATTAAAAACGTAAGAACTTGTCGAGACAAAATCCCTGGCAAAAAAAAAAGACACTGAAACGATGTGTTTGTTAACTTGTACAAAGCTATGAGGACAAAAGGAAATCGTGAAAGAGATCAAAATATCGCACTGGTCAGACAACGAACTGTACACCCGAGTACGAATTCTGATTGATTCACAATCAAAAGAGCTGTGCAGACGACATAATGGTCAACAGTCCATATTTTGAATAGTTTCCGGAAAGACCACGCAAATCAGTACCGATATCTCCGTAAATAGCATCGTAACTCGATATTAGCACTGCAGATTAATTCCATTACATTTACTATATCATAGCAGAAAAAATAAGATAACAACTGCACAAAAGTTACAAGACAAACCCGGACATGTCACTACTGCGTTACATAGGCCTAATTAAAATCGGTAAAATAGCTTTACGTGTACCTTAAAAAATCCTTTTTGGGTTATAAATACAAAAGGCTTTCCGATGAAAATCCCTTCGCTTTATAAATCCAAAAATACTAACTCAAACTTTTTTTATTTTATTTTACTCCCTCCATGCAACGGCCAAGCCAATTCCACACGACCATAGAACTCCGTTCCTATGATCAATTTTACAGTTTAAATACTCAAAAGAACCAATAGCCGAGAGATTTCTGAGTGACGTCTGAAATATGTACGCCATTGGCCCTCTCAACGGAAGACTTGTAGGCGGTACATGGCGCCTGCGACCAATTGTACAGAAGATGAAGGGGAACACGGAAGAGGAGGGCAATGGTCCTCATCCCTGATTGGACTATCCATTCCTCAGTCAGATTCAAATAAACCAATCTTTCCCCCGCGTTGTATCTCCTACGATTCTTTTCATAGGTTCGCTGGCCAGGCGGTAATGTTTTTATACTACTCCGTATCTTACCCATACATCCCCATTCGAAGTAAATAAAATTGAAAAACCATCCTTTTGAAAAGGACATTGTATTTCATACATGAAAAGTATTTATGAATCAAATTATGTAAAATAATCGTCCGTTTTAGAACAGTGTTTTACTTAAATATATGCCGTTAACAGTTTAACAAGGGCAGTTTTGTTCATAAACTATGACTAACACGAATGCATTTTATATATTAAATTTCAGTTAAGACTTGTAACTGAATAATCTCATACGTTTAAAAGGTTTTAACTTATAATGGAAAACATGGATTGTTAACCAGTTTGCACACTCCTAAATTCCGGGAGTCTCCCGCATACAGCGGCTCCCTGATGCCCGCGAATTGAACATCCCGGAAACTACAGCAAGCAAACAAGGGCATGCACGAGAGACAAGAGCGTGTCCGTCGCGCACTTGAGAGAAGCGCGCGCACGAGGAAATGATAGCGAGAGAACGTGCATATGTGTGGATCCCTGCGTGTGTGACTGTTCATGTAGCCCGTGCTAGACAGACAGCATCCTGATTGGTTTACTTAGCAAAATAAGCCAATCAGATTTCAATGCGGGCGGGCTTTTATTTAACTTCTTGGGGGCACCTCCCTGAAATGAGTTTTTGCAGGTTGGGATGTCTGGAATTTAGATGAGCCATCATGCATTAATTGCTCCCTAAGGACCTTTTATATCAGTTGGTTTTTGGATCACACTTTTATATGTGATGAATTAAACGACTTTCTGTTTTTATGAATCAAGGCCTTGCATCACCATTGCTGTGCTGCACAATCTCAATTCCTGGCAGAGCATTCAAGTCTGTTGACTAATCATAAGATTAAAAGTAAATTTGTTACAGAAGCAAAAGATTATGGACTCAAGAGAATCCAGTCTAAGTAAATTACACACAACGGGCAATGGGCCCTGATGGTATCAGTTCCAGACTTCTCAGCGACTGTGCTGATCAACTCTGCAGGGTCATTCTGCACATTTTCAACCTCAATCTCAGTCTGGAGAGAGTCCCCACCATGTGGAAGACCTCCTGTGTGGTTCCTGTCCCCAAGACTGCGTACCCCAGGGAGCCCAGTCACTTCAGGCCAGTAGCCTTGACGTCCCATCTGATGAATTGCCTGGAGAAGATGTACTCAATCACATTCGACACTTTGTGGGCAGTGAGCTGGACCCCTTTCAGTTTCAAACCCCTTTCAAATCATCTCCTGATAAACACCAGTAAGACAAAGGACATGGTAATTGACTTCGGCCACAAGGTGACTCCATCTACACCAGTGGACATTCTGGGAGTGCAGGTAGAGGTTGTGTCTGTGTACAAATATCTGGGTGTTCACATAAACAACAAACTGGACTGGTCACACAACACAGACGCCCTGTACAAGAAGAGGCAAAGCCGTCTCCACCTGCTGAGAAGGCTGAGGTCCTTTGGTGTGTGAAGGACACTACTAAGGTCCTTTTTCCACACTATGGTAGCATCTGTTATATTCTTGGCGGTGGTCTGCTGGGGGTGCGGGAGCTCAGGAAGGGACAGGAAGAGACTGAACAAACTGGTCAGGAGTGCTGGCTCTGTCCTGGGCTGCTCTTTGGACTCCACTGAGGAGGTGGCTGAGAGGAGGATGTTGGCCAAATTTACATCCATTATGGTCAGACCCCCTGCATGACACAGTGAGGACATTACGAAGCTCCTTCAGTAACAGACTACTGCATCCAACATGCAAGAAGGAACGCTTCCGCAGGTCCTTCATTCCATCTGCCATCAGACTTTATAATACCGGTCACCTAAAGTTCATAAATTATGTCACTATTTTGTATATTGTGCAATGTCTCACAGTCGCAAAATTTTAGGATAATGAGTATATTTTTTTATTCAAGTTTTTAAAAAGTAATAATTGCATGTTTAGTACATTATAAAGAACATGATTAGTTTTGCTAACATTGTAATCTTAAACAGTAACAATTATGGTGATATATTAATTATTTTTCAGAATCTTGCGCTCAAAGGTATATTTCTCATTTTTGGGCAAAGTCTACCAACTACCAATATGTATTTTATAACTCAGTCTTACGTAATCAGTTTTATTCAGTTCTCTCAGCTGTGCATGTATAATTTGTTTACAGAAAGTATTCACAGATTCTCCATAACGTACAGGATTCAACCATGAAGCAAAACAAGTTTTTGTGATTTTGTGAGACATAGAATGACCTGAAGTAACTTCTAAATCAACTTCACACTGAAGAAAAGGGTAGAGTGAATTCCTTAAATTTCAATATCGTGAAAGTAGTTTACTATCCCTGCAAAACTTGCAGTCCTTCTTAAGGCAGCATTTTAAGGCAAATCTTTTCTGGTCCGATATTTTTGTGGACGTCGTGGGGTGGTTTTACAAATGTCAGCAGCAGATTATTGTTGCTTTTGTATCTCCCCAGGCTGACAAGGGATTATCACTGCCTGTCCTGACAAAATGAAAGCCAGACAGTTTTAAAATCAAGTCAAAAAAGCAAGAAAATAATTTTCCATTCACGTTAATAAAAATTCCCATTTTTGATATGGCTTGTCGTAAATATTATGAAGTTAGCACACTGGTAAAGTGTAATGCAAGTTACCTGGTTTCAATGGGATTTTTCTCCCTGAAGTTTTCAGTACAACTTCCAGAGGGCAGCATTCAGCTTTTCCTGAGGTCTTGTTGCCTTCCCTTACAGTCACACACACTTCCTGTGACTTTATCTCCCAGTCCATCTTGTTACCTAGGTAACTCACTCCACGGACACGGAGCTCAGTGATGCCATCAGGAAGCAAGGGGGAAAAGTAGAGACTTTTTTCCCGCACCCTAAACACAGAGGTGATACAACTCAAAGTAAGAGCTAAAAATATATATATGTTCAAGCTAGACAAATGCAACTACCATAATACTACAGCACACACTGAACTTGCTATATCCACTCTTAAAACTAATTAGACAGGAATGCAGGCAGAACCAACTCGTATGGTAATACAATGAACTTCGATGTTCATGCCACTCTAAAAGCCTCGTTGGGCTAATTTATAAAATATCCGATACATTATTATTGGATTTTTCTGCAAAAAAAAAGTCTTTGAAGTGAACTGCACACATAGCAACCATTATTATGAATTAAGCGAGTAAACAAAATGCATAGGTCAGGTACAAACTGACCTGAAGCCTGTATATCCAAATAGTACCGTCTGCAGGAAGCCTCCCATTCCGGTAAGGAAGTTGACTGCTCCAGATCCATCGGCACATTCGCTCCACACCTACGGACAGAACGACTTCCAAATTTAATAAACAAAAATGGTGCTGAAGAAAAAAAAAAATCACAATCACATTATCATGGATATAGTTACGCTTAGTTTTGTTTAAAATTTTCTTTCACACAGCCTTGAGGTACTTAGAAAACAATTAGTTAAAATTAAAATGTGTGCTTTCAGTGACGTGACAGAAGCCACACCTTTGACCTCTAACCCCTGACCCAACCTGAAAAGGTTCCTGGATGTTGCTGAAGCATTTACTGAGCTGTTCCTGTGCCTTCTTTGCCTCACCCAGCTCCAACCAGCCCACAGCAAACATGCTCTGTCAAAGGAGCGGGAAACAGTCTAATCAACACTGAGACCGGAAATCCACAAGGCGTTTAGTCACTTTAATCCTCCGATTTAAATTCATACATCATTAGAAACATAAAGATTAATGATCACCCTTGCGTACTGTATTACTCTTCAGCTATACAACATACAGTTTCACAACAAACAGTGATACAATAAAATCATGCAATACAAAATTACATTTTGGTCAACCACGGACCACATATACTTTGATGGTCCCATATGATTATAATGGAGCTGAAATACTCCTATCACCTAGTTACAATCCCTATGACGTCACGTCACAGTGCAATGCATTAGTCATGTTTTTTGGCGATGCTGGTGTAAACAACCCTACTGTGCTGCCAGTCATATAAAAGTATAGGACATAGAATTATGTACAATACATAATACTTGATAATGATAATAAGCAATTATGTTACCAGTTTTTAACTGTATTTACTATACTGTACTGCTTATTGTTATTTAGGCTATACCTACGTGTGCAGTAGGCTATACCATCTAGGGTTGTTGAAGTACACCCCATGATGTTTTCACAACGATGAAATCGCCTTACGACACATTTCTCAATGCATCCCTGTCACAATTCACCATTTATATGAAATACTGTACAGCAGGAATTGCAGTTGAGTTTGCAGTAATGGCCAAGTGGTGTGGAGGTTACCATGTGGTTCAGGTCCACTGCTTCTTTCAAAAGTTTAGAAAAAATTTAGAAAATTCTCTTTAAGATCTCATTTGGGAAAATGTAACTTTAGTACAGTGAATTATGCTGAACCAATTAGCACAGCATGATATGCTAGAGTCGCCTTTGTTGTTGGTAGTAATGACTGGCTAATTTCCTGAGGCTGTGCAGTCCGGGATCCTCACCCATGTCATTGCTGGGCCATTGGGGTCTGTCACAGGTTCATATACGTCCAGGTCATTCCTCCGAACCTCGGGAGTCATGGGTAGACCCAAAGGATAGCCTAGCAGCACCACATCTGCCTGCTTTACAGGGCTTCCTGGGTGAGACAAATCACAGAAGATGACTCAGAGAAAATAGGACATGTCCTGCCTTAAAATCCAAGAGTTTAGCGCTTACTAACCCTGAGCCTAATTGCAAAACACAGCCTATATGTACCTCCTGCAGACATGCAAGTGTACTGTAGGTAGATAGAAGCCAAGAGAAGAATTAAAGATGAGGGTGGAGTAGGAATGGAACACTTGCCCTTTTTGTAGCCATCAAATTCTGGATGGTACTTGGCTTCTGAGTCAAAAGGGATTTTAAGGGTGTCAGCAATGCACTTCCACTCTGGTGGGGCAGGGTACCCAATCTGGCCGGCCAGGTCCACTGCAAACTGGAGGCTGGGGGAGTAAAAAGGAAGAGGAGTGCAAGTCAACTACAGAGCTGACAGGTCATATTCAACAGGCTCCACCAATGGCCCAGGACTATTACCCACCACTGGATTTTACGGTACACCAACATTGATCAAAAAACATATTGAATGAGGGAGAAGGCGACAATCACAAATAAATCAAGAAAACCATGCAATATTTGCAATCTCAGAACCACATCAGAAAATCATAAAAAATAAATTGAAAACACAATCATGAGTATTTCTCTGCCCTTATCCCTATACATTAGCTTTTGGCGTGAGTGTTGCAGACTCACCTGAGCTTGGCCACAGTGTTTGTGTAGACGGAGTTGTCAACATTGCGGTAGTATTCGTCAGGAGGCATGACCCCTGACACGCGTTCACACGGAATGAAATGTCACACACAACAAAACCTTGACTCAAGCCGCATGCACACACACTAAACATTGCACACAACATGCACAGGTGCACAGATGCTGGCAAATTTTGGTTAGTATAGTGAGCGGATATATGGTGCTCAAAAAGTACAAACAAAAAGCACATGAGTTAATGTACTACATACAGTACACCATACTTCAAACAACCTATCACCTTATAGCAGGGTGTGTGGGCTTGTGTGTCAACCTTACATAATCCGTTATGCTTTATAAAGAAGAAAAAGTAAAACCCTCACTTCTGATAATCTGTGAAACACAGGAAGATGTGCCTTTATAAATATACATCTTAAACAGATTTTGCAAACTAAAGTTGTGAGCAATGTTTGTACTGGGTGGGTGTGAAACCTAGTATATTACAAGAATTTCTGTTGCATAAAAATTTGCATAGACTGCAACCATCATGAATGAGGGTGGAGTTCCTACCTTATGAAACCCATCCAACATACAAGACAGCTATGAAAGGAATATTCGGTCAGGATTTCAAAGGATTTCTCAAATCAAAATGTGTGTTTATATCTTGACATGGATGTAATATGTGTAACGGTAAACTTGTGATGGATTTATTATCATATCATGTTGTCAAAGCATCCATCCATCCATCCATCCATCCTTTTTCCAACCTAGAATCCTAGAGTGTATTTCAGGGGAACTGGAACCTTTCCCAGATAGAACAGGCCAGCAGAACATCATTGGGTGAGATGCAAATCCATTGCAGGGCTTACACACAAACAAATAAGCACACACATATGTTTATAAAATTAAGGTTTATATTGTGGGGCACCTGAAAAATGTCCCCACGAGCTAAAAAGTAACAAGTTTCACCCCACCCACACACACACACACACACACACACACACACACACATTTAGAGATGCACCTAAATGCATGTCTTTGGTTTGATGGAGCAAACTGTACCTGTTAAATGGGCTTTACATGGAGGGAAAAAAAACCCAGCCCTGGAGATGTGAGAAAACAGTGCTACCATCTGTGACATCACTCTACTGTGATGAAAGACTATGATGACATATCTTCAATGACATAATGCTTGAAATATATCATGTCACAATGCTCTCATGTCACACTCAAACATCCCATTTTACTATCATATGAGACTGTGTTGCCAAATAGCATTTTAATGTGTCTGTTTTGTCATTTAATGAGGTTTCTATGATGAAAGTTACACCTCACCGTTGATGTAGTAGCAGTTCTCTTCCGCACTCCAGGTTACCCGGGAGACCCAGTAATCAGCAATGCCCCAAACCACTTCACTGCCCTGGCCTTCCTGGAACATGGCCAGGTCCTGGCACCCATTACAGCAAAGTACAGGGGGACAGGAGAAAAGATGAAGAGGTGGATCAATTGCTAACGGTATTTTGCTAACAGTGTTTCAGATCGGACAAGAATGATGTACGTATGACGGCTTTTTGGACAGGGGTCTACTAGTGGTGACAAAAAAAAAAAAACGACTAAGCACGTTAGAAGATATCATGTTAATATTCATAGTTTTCAGTCATGTGACTGGCTCGGAGACCTGGGGTGAATCTCAATATGTGTGCTTGAAAAGTACAGACAGATATATATATGTTTATGTCCAATAAATTACATTAAATGCATTAATTAATATCTTTCTTGCTTGCCTTTCCATATTTCTACATTTGAAAATTTGATCGATAACGGATACTTTTTCGTTTAATATCATTAGTGCAGGCGATGAAACTTGCCAACGCATTAGCATTAGCGGAATAATGTTACATTGTGTTTTATTCTATGGAAAACTAAATACTGATCTGCTGACCAGATATAATAATGAATTTTAAACATCGTGGTGCATATAAATAAAATAGAAGGCTGTGTCCCGTTTTAATTGTGACTGATACTCCCAATAACTAACAAAATGACTTATTCATCCTCCATTGTTTTGGAGTGGTGGTGTAGTTTCATATGAAATTGTGTGTAAAGTTTAACCTACAGCCTTTCCGTCTCCCATGCTTATTTAACGTAAAGGTCCCAGTTCCTGCTGTGCAGTGGGAAAGCGACACACACAAAAGTCATCAGGAGCTACAAAAGTTCCCGGTCTAGACAGTCCAGGAACTCGGAACCAGGAACTAGGATCCTGAACTTTGGTGTGAAAGCGCGTTTTGATAGGTGCCATTCCTTCATTCCCTCCCCAGGGATGGAGGCATGACTAATATAAGCACAAATACACAATCTCAGATGGGATAACACAACCCAGGTTTGTTTCCTGGGTTGGCAGGAATAAAGCCTTCTTTTGCCCTCCAGGTGGGCACTCCTAAAAGGATGTGGTGTCATATGAAAACTATGAATACTCCCTTTTTCCAAAAAAAGAAAATGTGTTTTTTTACTGGTTTGATTTTTTTTTATTCTCAAGAACAGAGGAAGTACTACCTGCTGTACCCCCTCCTCTGATGTCTATACTGGTGTCAGATCAGGGGGGGATTTCGAGAGAGGCATGAAGTCATGCCTCAGACACTCTACCTGCGTGAGGTGAAGGTACATCTGGAAGGCCAAGATGACATCCCCATTAATGTGGATCTCTTGTTCGCCATAGATGTCCTCGGGACAAACCTCCCTTCCGGTGACCGCACTCTCCCATGGGAACTTCAACCCCTGTGCACACACACACACACACACACACATACGTACATAATGCTCAGCACCTGCACCCTATGATAATGTAAAGCACAGAGACAACACACAGAAAGTGCACTGATGCACAACCCATATACTGCATACACAGAACACACACCAGTGTGAATATATACATCACATATTGCACACACACAAGTGCACATACACTTCAGCATGTAGTCATGGGATGTATACCAGCAGCAGATGAATAAAAATATCAAGAGGGTCCAGCTGCAGGCGCCTGTATAGTGGAGCTCCACCCGAAATACGGCACCTCCAGAGGAAACACGTGATCTTCAAGGACGTAAAGTGGAGCTCGGGTTAGGGTTAAGGTTAGGGTTAAGGTTAGGGTTAGGGTTAGGGGTTATTCGCTGTAACACAGAGCTGAGGTGACGTATTTCCGGTGGAGCTTCACTCTACAGGCGTCTGCAGCTGGACCCTTTTCAAAAATACGAGAACCTTGTAGCCTTGCTGCTTTGCATTTTCTTTGGCGCCCTCTAATGTTCGCACTCGATATTCCAACACAGCCTTCGCCAAAGGTGGGTAGAATAGAGCGATGTTGGGGTACATCCAAGTGTCCTGTGAAATAACAGGAAAGTGTTACAAACTGCTACGTGTGTATGTGGCAAATCACCTACATTTAACTGACATCTAATACCCCTCAGTATGATTCCAACATGCGAATACAGCTTCCAGCTACTGCTCATCCATCTCCTCACCTCGTCCCAGAATACATGACCCCAGTAGTCCTGTCCCTCTCTTCCATTGGACAGCCCCCCAGGACTCACTCCCCCAAACTCGGGGGGAGCATCACGTAGGAAGGGAAAGGCGCTAAGCAGGTAGAACAGGCAGCCAACCAGAGCACGGCTCATAGCGGCAGGGCCCGATATCTCCACCCCACATCCTGCCCAGAGCTCCGCCCAGGCCCGGCAGTGAGAGGGGAAGAGATCCCCTTCTGCAATCAGCTGTAGGCCAGTGTCGAAAAATGCCTTGGCGCTCCCGGTGCTATCTGCCACGACGGTGAAGAAAACCCAGCGGGACTGGGTTTGACTAGACAGCAGGGTCAGGGTGCCCGGCACAGGAGTCCAGATGAGGTGCACACTGAAGAGTGCCCCCCCTGAGACCTCGGGTGTAAGGGTGTTTCCTTTGATGCACCTGAGCAAAAAACACATTACTATTAAAGTAATACACTATGCCAGGGGTCACCAACAGGATGCCCGCGGGCACCAGGACGCCCCTAAGGACCACGAGTCGCCCACGGACCTGTTCTAAAAATAGCACAACTCACCAGTAAGCAGCGTCTAAAATTTATTTTTATCCTGTTGCTTAGTGATTCTTCTTTAATTACATTTCCATTTATATAGATTTGAAAATGACAAAATCTTAAAAAAAAGCATTTAAAACATGTTTATTATACATGAAGTTTAGATAAGTTTAGGAGGCGTTTCAAACTGGCAGCCCTTCGTGTGGCTCAGTACCCGTGAAGTAGCTCTTAGTTTCAAAAAGTTTGGTCACCCCTGTTCTATGCAAATTCAATCACTGATATTACACTTCATGTCTACAAGTCTATAAGTGATTATCTTAGACACATATTAGAGTTTATATCCGATCTGGCAAACTTCTGGCGTGTCGAGATGTTGCTTTTTCCTCACCTCCCACCCTTATAATCGGGTTCGGCCTGGAAAGTGATGTCGTTGCTATGGGGCGTGAAGGAGTTGTCCAGCTCCAATGTGAGGGGCTCCTGTGTGGTGTCTAGACGCTCCATAAGCACCTCCATCACCAGCATGTGGGGGTGGTATCGGTGGGCATAGAGGGACTGTGTGACCGACACATGGGCCGTCCGCACTGAGTGAGTGAACACACCTGGGAAAGAGGGACAGGAAATGTAGAGTGACAGATACTACAGGACCAGCACAGGGCAGTGTCTCAGTCCCTCCAGGATGTTGCGGGCGTCTTTTTTGATTGTTGCGGCTTAAAATGCTTGATTTTGCGGCAGCTTTTTCAAAAATGTTGCGGTGAAAGTTGCGATGTTTTGAGGCTTTATTTTTTGTTTTCATTTTTTATTTATGTCATTGCAAGAACAAATGAATTTACAAAAATAGTTGCAACTGTTTTGCAACATCGCAACGTCCTGGAGGGACTGGTGTTTGGTCAACCCATCAGGCAACATAAGAGGTCACCATCTTCTGGGGGGGGCGTGCCCACTTAGCAAGCCTATTTCATTTTGTCACAGCGGAAAAGCACTCTGAGGGCTTCAAGCAGCACAGGTACTGGGACAGCGAGTACAGGAGAGTAACAAAGTACACAGCACAGGGACAGGAGGTACAGCGGAGTAACAAAGTACACAGCACAGGGACAGGAGGTACAGCGGAGTAACAAAGTACACAGCACAGGGACAGGAGGTACAGCGGAGTAACAAAGTACACAGCACATGGATCTAAGGAACCATGTGACAAAGGGT